GGAAATTAACCATGTAAGTTGTTTAAATTAAAACAATACAAGTAACATGATATCATAAACGAAGAGAATTTCAGACATTTCTCTTATTTGTAAAATAGAGTAGAAGAAATGATAAGAATTTTGTCACAACATTTTAAACTGTGGGTGAACAGCCAACTGATGTATATGACTTGAACTCTCTATTCAATGAGTCTAACATACACCTGGTGACAACCACATGTTTAAATACACACGTATCCATGGCAACCTATCACAATATTCAACAACAGTTTTCTACTTATTATTCTATTGATTATTTGATAGTGTTTTGTATATCAGTTTCAATCTCATCATTTAAACTTATATTTTTAAATTTCAATAGTTTTGTAAGTCATTAATTAATATTTCAGCCAATAATTATCTTCACAAGTCAATTTCAATATAAAAAGATCTTAATACTTTTCATAAGTATTAATATACTGCAGTAAAAGCTAGACAGAAAAGATTACCACTTGTATTATGCAAATAAGCGAGCAGTTTTTCCCCAAACTAAGCATTATTTTTGAGTACATCTCTAAAAGGCATTGAATTTAAAGCAGTTCAGAAAAGGTTTGAAGTAATTATTACCTGAAGAAGTTTCACATGGATGTGTCAATTGAAGAATAGAAATAACAAGCCTGTGAATCTAACCATATGTACTTCACAGAAAAAAAGATAGTAAAATTTATCTTTAAATACTGAATATATTCAATTTCTTCTATCATTGCTTAGAAAGTTGAGTAGTTCATTTTGATTTCAAAGCGAGTTGGACGAAAATTATCAACAGACCCAGTCCATTTTAAACTATCAAAATTACTGCTCAAATTGAAAATATTTTAAGTAATACTATCAATCACTGTATTGATTGCTAAGAAAATTCAAATAAAGTTTATAACTTGATTAAGGGTAATAAGTTTCCATAAAGAAATGAACATTAATACTGCAAAGTTGATATAAAATTCAAACTGTATTTCTGATGAATTCTTTTTGTTTTGTTAGACATGATGAAAGCGGTAAAATAGGTAATCACCCTCCGCTCAGTAAAATGAGCAGACAAAATAATTGCTATTAGCCAGTAGGAGTTAGAGAGTATTCCCACAAGGTTTGAGAAAATCTGATGAGGAAGTCACCATCCAGAAAATATTTTCTTTAAGATGGTGTCAAATCTCTCCTTCACAATACCACTTTTACATGAGGCACAATTTTACCATTAATCAACAGTCAGTTACTATGACAACTTATAGCCTACACAAGTTTCCTAAGCAACCGTTTGGTGTATAGCAATGTTAGATTAATAGTCTATAAAACAAAGTGCTCTGATATTCCTGTTTATGGCAGAATCTTAAAGAACTAATCATTTTCCAGAAAAACAAATTTCCAATATTGACTGGCTTCTAGAATTTGGAATAACTTTAGTGCAATTTAGTCAAATTGACATAAAATTCAGAATTTGAGATAGTTTTTCACAAGAAAGAATTCAACAGTCATGAAATTATGTACTAGAAAAGAAAGAATAGTTAGTGGATAGTTCTTCTGAATAGGTCTCATTACTTTATATTTCATGCAATGAAAACACCTGGTACTGTACAAGCACCTGCAACATTCATATCTTGAATACCTAGTTCTAACAAAGCCTTATTACCATAATAATTAAGATGTCTAGAATTGATTTCTTTATAAAAAAAATCTTAGTCAAATTTTCAGTTTCATTTTTTGTAGCTTTTTTTTCAAATAACATCAAAAACATAACCTCTTTTTTTTTGCGTAATATTAACAATAGTTCCATTTAAGGGAAGAATATGCACCAACTTCAAAATAACAATGTTAAAGCTTGTGGAAAATTGTTGATTGAAAAATGTTGACTTGTCACTTGATTTTCATTTTTTTTTTCCATTTGGTTTTATTTCATATATATATATAAAGGTTATAAAATGAGGTTAATATTCAAAATGGCCATCTAATTTCACTTTTCATCATACCAAGTTTTTTAGTTGAAAACATGAGGAGAAGATAAGAAAATGGCTTGACAGACTGACAAGTAAGGTCAACATAGAGAGACATGGACAAATAAAAGATCAAGTTTCCATTAGGTTCACAGGTTTATCCATTACTAACATTGCAAAACCTTTTAGTTTTTGCATTATAGCTATAAGGAAGTAATCATAATTTTGTAAACTTCATTTTTTAAAGGGACAGATGCACCATTTTGGGGAGTTGATATTAATCTTGAATAAGCTTATATGTAATATAGTCATCAGAAATAACAGTACTAGTAATGAACGAAAATGGCATGATTCCTTAAAAATATACTTCAAACTAGGAATTTTACTTACTTTTCCCATATGTCTTTTCTATATATCACAGAGTATCTTAAATTGATGTGTCGTCATTTTAAAATTAAATTGCGGATAATTCTAGTCACACATGGATTTGAACAAATGAAGGCTCAAATTATGACGGTAAGCTTTGAACACTATAACTATAAAAAAATTCCTGTTTCTGAGACTAAAGTATGATTGGTGAAACAAATGCCCTACCTGTCCCTTTAAGGAAGTAATTTGCTAATAACTTTTTAATTGGTATTACCTATCCACAAGAAACAGAAAATAAGCCTTTTGATACAGAAAAGAAAAACAAAATCCATTACCTTTTATCAAAAATGTTGGTTGCATGATCATCTTTGGTTTGAATAGTAATGCTGTGTAGGACTTTTACATGAAGATTTATTCACTGTGACATGAGCAGGAAGACTGGATATATCATCAGCTAGGTTTCAAAATATAAATAAAAATGTTAATTAAGAAAAGGCTTCATGGGTATTGTTATAAAAACATCAATTTGACTGGGAAATCTCAGAAGTGTGAGGGAAGGATTAAGAGACATTGAGTAATCAATTCTAGTCACTTCCCATCAAATCTTGATCAATATGTTTTTACAACATTTTTCTTTGAAGTCATTTACTAGGTTCAAGTAAGGTTTTAAGTAAAACTTCAATCTATTAGTAAGCTCCAACATTTTACATACCATGACAATTCATTTCACTTTTTAGCTGTACATCTGTTAGGCACTTTTCTTAAAACATGAAGGTTCTGGTAGTTTCAAAAACTCAAAAGTTATATACCTATATCTTACTTGCAATACCTTCGGATTTTTCAACACGGTTTCCCCCTGTCAGTGATGCAGGTATGAGGGGCTGACATGGAAAAAGCGTCTAGTCGTTCGGATGGGACAATAAACCAAGGCCCTGTGTGCTACAGGCTGTGCACGTTAAAGATCCCTCGACAGTTGGAAATCGAAAAAGAGCAGGCTAATGCCGCTGTCCTGGCAAAATTTCCCTCATTGCACCCTGCATGGCGTTGCCCGTCTTCATTAGCACACATGGTGCAGAAAAGTAGGACGTAAAACTCCATTCATTTCATTTCATTTTTTATATCTTACTTGCAGACTAATTAAAATTAGACAAACTTCTGTTTTTTTTTTTTTTTTATTAGCTATTTATATATAGCCACATTGGGGTTTAACGACAGCCCTCTTGATTGTTTGGTCTCATTTTATTTAAACTGCCTTACTTGTACCACTTAATGAATATTTGTATGCTACAGCAAATTAATGCACAGATGTTTACTTAGTTTGTCATTCTACTCTACTGGGCTTGGGTGGTTCGAAAAGTAACACTTATATCAACGGAAGACACTGTTACAAGACACATAGGCATAGGATAGGAATGAGCTATACAGGGCATTGGTGTATTTTCTGTGTTCAATAGGCTAATGCTTTATTACAATGCTGATTGCTGTCAGTGGTCGAATTTTGACAATAGATCAGTCGCTAACAACCACACTACAAAATCCATGAAAAAGTGATTTAAAAGTCAAAGGTTACAGCTACCACCATATTGTCATTGATTGTTTTGCTCAACTAATATGAAAAAGGCCACGTGTGATACGTAGTAAACTGGCTACACTATCCTATTTTTAGAGATTATAGGTCAGTGTCAGAGATAAGTAACAACATTAATCAAATACAGAAGTCTTAAACAAGAACAAAAACAATGTGTCTGTTTGAATCGTGAACGCGAGCGAATTCGGTGATGACATCGTAGTCAATATGATGGAAAGATGGAAATAGGCCAAACAATCGCGAATGTAAACAAGGCTGTAATTTATCACGCCTTTTTTCCCGCGAATAAATTACGGGGCATTTAATTTCAAAACAATCTCTTAAACCCATAGTTTTCTTGAGTTTTATTCATATATAATTGGCTTCTCAACGAAAGTGATTTTCAATCATCATTGAAATGTATTCAGTAAATAATAACGGAGATACGTACCCAAACTTTTTGCGTCAGTCTCGCTTCGACAAACAATGTAACGGAAGTAGAAGATGATGAAGATGTCATCACGTGACCAAGCTAATTCTCGATTAATAGGACACTTTCTCGATTGACAAGACGGCTCATGAAGATTTAAAGGAATCAGGCCATTTAATTACTAATTAGTTGTTAAAAGATGAGTTGTGGGTTGAATAATTCTGTAGATTTTGGTGTATATATTTCAGTAATTTGAGCATTATAAAACATATAACTTTCACAAGCACATAACATGACTCTCTACTTTAAATTTTAATGAGGCCGATATTATATATTATGTCTTTGAAATTTTGAAAAGGTCGTTTCCTTCGTTTTAGGCATATTTTCTCGGGACGTTGCGTTTGCAATCATTGGAAGCCTAATTTGTCCCCGGGATTACCGAGCGAAAATTAAATGTTGCTTCGGGCCTATCCTATGCTTCATTTATGATTTAAACTTTAAAGTAAGGTTAAATGTTTATTATTGTAAGTTTGAATCATCTGGTTGTATTGTCGATATGGTAACTGAAAACGAAACTTGTCGTGGCTGGTTTAATTCGCTAATCCAATTAATCTGAGGGTATGGCAAATTTATCGACCTGTCCCATTCTGCATTCATTTAGTTTCCACTGTTCAAAAGAGTAAGACGCGAGCTCACTTCAAGAGTTGCGTCCCCTTCTATTTACTCGCGTGGTTGTTATAGGAACGTCAATAGCGTCAAAATGGCGAGCTCACAGGACCAAGATTTGGGAGAGAAGAAAAGTAAACGCCTTTTTCTGAACCAAATTGATGAATTTCAGGGAAAAAATTTAGCAAAGGTATAGTATTGATGTCTTTTTTATATTGAACATAGCTAGTTATATAGCGGACTTATTGGTAGTAATACAATATAGGCCTATTGATATTGTATTTTGGCAACAATCAATAATTTTTTTATTCAATTTCCAATCTCAATCTGGCAATCTACTTTCCTATCACAGACAAAAACGGAACCAGATTCACATGGAGCTTAGGACATGTGGGCATCAGTTGAGTTATTTTTAAAATAAAACCAATCCTATGCCATGGAACCAGAAAGGGGAGATTTCAGTGGTGAATTTTTATTTTCAGTATTTATCTCACTGTGTTGTTGGGGCCTCACTGGAAGAAGCAGAAGAAGAAGATGATAACCAATCAGTGGACAGTTCTCTCATTCCACCACCAAAAGAAGGATGTTATGAAGTTGTTGGTACAACCAAAGCTAGAGAATATACCAAACCAGATGATGTTAAAGAAATTATTCAGGTAAAATATAATAATTGGTGTTGAATCTTCACAAATGATTTGAAATATTCATTGAACTCATCAATTTATAAAATAATGTATTTTTCATTTTTTCATCACATCACAAATTAAACTTTGTTATTGTTTTTGTTATTTATTATCGTTTTGGTATTATTTACATTTTAGTATGATAATAGAGATCAGTTATATGAACAGTTAGTAGAATGTGATGTTATTGTTTATGATATAACAGAGGATCCAGACCAAATTGATGAGGCTGTCTGGGCAGTGTCAGGTATTTATTTCGTTGGCATTAATTTACATGTAAGTTGTGTAGAGCTGACATTACATAGCATTAATTTTAATGATGTAGCCTTGAACCAATAGCTGAATAAACAATAACTAAAATGTAACATTGAAGCAAAAAATTTAGGTATATTGAAAAATGATTATTTTATTTTATTTTTTTTCAGAATTGCATGCTGATCTGGAGAAAATTGAGAAGCCTAAAATGTTTATATTAATATCATCTTGTATGACATGGGCTAAAAGCAAACCTTTGGACCCAGTAAGTTAAATTTTTGTATGAATAATAAATGTTTGAAAAGATTTCATAGAAAGCCAAATAAATGTTTCTTAGCTTTCAATGAATTTTTGAAGCTCGAATATTAAAAATGATTTGATTCTTTTACTTAGGATGATCCAGAAATTCCATTTACAGAAGATGACTACAGACGTCGTAAACCACATCCTAATTTCAAAGAACATATCAGTGCTGAAAAAACTGTTATTAAACTTGGTAAAACGGTGAGTAGATTTTTTCCCCAGTAACTGTTGTATTTATTCTAGGGTGGAAATAAGATATCTGGTCAGTATATTTCTAAAATTTACAATTTGGTTATATAAGCTTACTCATTTGAAGCCATGATTTTCATTTATTCACTACCTTAATTTGATAACCCTTATATATTTTTCTAGAACAAGTCCAAGTTGGTGACATATGTGGTATGTTCAGGATTAACATATGGTGCAGAAGAAAATATATTTCATTATTTATTCAAGGTAGGACATGTTCTATCATAAGCTAAGAATTTTAATGAGAATTGTTGGTGTATTTTTAATTCAAGAAAGTTTACACTTTGGTTCTTTTTCATCCCATTAAACTTAAGAACAGTAAGATTGTATTTCTTATTGTTATATTTCAAAACTTGCTATTATATTTGCAATGACTGCTTTTTTTGTAGTCTGCTTGGCACAATGTACCTCAACTCCAGATATTTGGTAATGGACAGAATGTGATACCTACTATCCATATTAAAGATTTAGGAGGGTATGTTTTCATTTTCTTCTTTAATTGGAAAATTTAATTCGTAGATAAAATTCCTTATCGTGATAACTCTACAATTAAAGAAACCTGAATAAATGTGTTAAAGATTTAAAATTGAATTATAAGGATTTGTCTCATCATTTCAGTGTTATTCAAAATGTAGCTGATTCCAGGCCTAAAGTTCGCTATTTGATTGCTAAGGATGACGCTCAGAATACATTGGAAGAAATAGTCAGGGTAGGTACAACTCCTTCTGTTTTATATTTTATCATTGGAAGAAATACTGTTCTTTTTTCTCCATTCTTTCATCAGACATTAAACGCTCACTAGTTGAACATTTACTATGTTTCATACAGAAATCTAATAGTTTGTAGCGAATCAAACAAGGTATATTTTAACAACTCTTCTATTTTACTGTGTTATTTCAGGCTGTAAGTGCTGGACTTGGTACAGGAAGAGTTAAAACTATCACAAGAGAAGAAGCTTTACTGCAGAGAGATATAGAGGTAATTAGAATGCCAATATATGGCCAAATATTACATTAAGGACATATATTGCATAAAAGGCATAAAATAAACGGCATATATTACATCAATTCAAATGAATATCATGGCTTGTACTTCAAACCAGAGATAGAGGCATTAAAAACTTATATTTTTCATATTTACAGTTTCATGTTGCACTAGAAGACTGAATTTAAGATCATAAAGAGATTCATATTTTATCCATTGATTTTTGTTTTTACAGCAAGCTGATTTTGATATGTTATTAGTTAATCTGAGAATGGATGCAGTACATGTCAAAGAAAGTATGAGAATAAGCTGGGTTTCAGAAGGTGGTTTGGTAGAGAATTTACCACAACTCATCAAAGAATATAAAGATTTGAGACATCTGCAGGTAATTTTTCTCTTAAAATGTTTTTGATTATAGCTTATTGCTCATTATTTGTCCAGTTTAAGTTGTCCAGATATTAAGAATTACATCTAGTTTTGTTTTTGTGTTAAATTCACCCTGATTAAGGAGGTCTCTTGTTATGATCCAGTATTAGTTCAATGTCTAAGAACCACTGTTTATGATAATCAAAAATTTGCAGAATATTTATGATAATCAAAAATTTGCAGAATAGATATTTTTAAGTATGAATTACCTTAGAATTATATTTTGTAGCCATTGAGAGCTGTAATACTGGGCCCACCAGCATCTGGTAAAACTACAGTAGCCAAAGCTTTATGTCAGTTGTATAAACTACATCATATTACTCTTAAAGATGTTATTGAAGATGAATTAGAAAATTTAGTAAGTATTATTAAACCGCTATCCTACCTGTCCTACAGTAAGCTATGACATCTATCTGTGACATTCATAACGATGCCTTGATATAATGATGCTCAGTTTATTTCTATGTACAAGCCTTGTGTAATGTATTATGGTCAGATTTGTCAAATCCAATGAAGCATCTTGCTGCGAGAAAATCTTATTTTTTTAAAATATCAACATTTTTAAATATGATTTCACAGAAACATTTATAAACATCACCTGAAAGAGTAAGTCATGTTAATAATTGGATGATATCAACAATCAACATTCCCAATGTGTTTTCAGGCAACTAAAGCAAGAAAAGCTGAATCAGAGGAAGAAGAAGATGATGGATCAGCTCAAGATGCTCAGGAATTTTTAGATCAAATCAATGATAGTAAAGAAAACAACAATGGTCGTATTGAGGATCAATTTATCATCAGATTTTATAAAGATAAACTACATTCAATGTCTTGTCAAAATCAAGGCTTTATATTAGATGGTTTTCCCAAGACATTAGAACAAGCTAGAGAATTATTTATTGGTGAGTAGAATATAAAATCCAATTATAATATTCAATTTTATTATTTTCTAAGTTTGCAAAGAGCATTGCTATAGAATTAAAGGTTAGGATGGATGAAAGGTAACAAGTTACTATTCAACAGAAGGCTAAGGTATATTAGTTATTTTGTAAGGACCAATATGATACACAAGTGGGTGTTTCTTTAAACCTCATTTTTATTCAATAAAGTCTTTCAGCTTACAGTGTTTTTGATCTTCTTTTAGGTGATGAGGATGAAGAGCCAGAAGAAGCCTCAAAGGGAGGTAATTATGATAAAGCTATCATGCCAGAGTTTGTCATCTCTTTAGAAGCTACTGATGAGTTTGTTAAAGAGCGAGTGATGAACCTACCAGAAAGTATTGTGACTGGTTCACACAACACTGAGGAGGGTCTGATGCGAAGATTGGCTGAGTTCAGAGCTAATAATACTGAAGATGACACTGTATTAAACTATTTTGATGAACTGGAATTCCATCCAGAAAGAATAGGTAAGTTTGAAGGCAATTTCGTCTGTTGATTTGACATTCATGATCAAAATTTTTCTGAAAGAAAGTTGCAAATACACATTGATTTTCAATGGATCAAATTGGTTGAAAATCATCCACTCTAGCTGTACCAAGAACCAATAGTTATATACTGTGACATCTTTTATCCAACTTTATCTTTATCTAGATGTAGTAAAGGATAAGTCACCGATGATGAAAGAAACCATTGAGAAAATCAAGAAGATTATGGGTTCTCCGAGAAATTATGGTAAGTCTACCTTAAAAGATTATTAAGTAGATCAGTAGAGAAAAACAGCCGTGTGAACTTCTAAATAACTTTCCATGGCACTTGGAATATTTTGTCCGAGTAAACTATTTCTCAAAAAGACACACAGATGTCTCTTTTTCAGCATTCAATCATCTTACCCCATAATTCATTTTATCTACCTGTTATTTCAGGTCCAACACCAGAGGAAATAGAAGAAAAGAGAAAAGCTGAAGAAGAGGAAAGATTGAAGAGAGAAACAGAAGAGAGAGAAGAAAGGGAAAGAAAGGAGGCTGAAGAGGCAGCAGAAAGAAAGAAACGTCAAGAAATCTGGGTAAGAAGAAAGTTCAAATGATTCTGTGAATTGCATTTATGACGACTGGTTCATATTTATATACAGAATGCAAATTTGTCAAATGAGAATATCACAAATAACAGTAAATATTTGCTCATCACCACTGACCAAGCTATAACAGCACATAAGTATCTTCAATTAAATTAGATGATTGGGAAAATAGAAATTAATTGGTTAAATTTGAAACCTTTCAGAACTTCGTTCAATGAAAACTATATTGTATTGTTATATTCAGACCCAGAGATTAAATGAAGTTAAAAGAGAAGAGTATGAACTATTAGAAGCTCAGTCATATCCATTACGTAATTACCTGATGAAACATGTGATGCCTACTTTAACACAGGGCTTAATAGACTGTTGTAAAGTTAGACCTGATGATCCCATAGATTACTTGGTAAGTTTTGAAACTTACAACTCTTGGCTCAATGTAAGATATTTTTGAAAACAAAGGTAGATTATTAGAAAATATTGAAGACTAAAGGGAGATAATAATAAAATCTATAATTATAAAATCTTGAAGACTAATGGGAGATAATTATTAAATCTTGAAGACTAAAGGGAGATAATTATTAAGATCTGAAAACTAAAGGGAGCTTTTGTTTGAAATTTTGAAGAGTAAAATAAGTACTTTTTTAAGTTTGACAATTATGAAAGTTTACCTAATTTGGATATTGAAGGAGGGATGATCTGGAAAATATTTAATGGAAAATGTTCAACCTAAGAATTTTTAGATGCTTAAAGACAATTCCATAATGTTATTGCTTCTCATTATATTTTATTTATCTTTTTTCAGGCTGAGTATTTGTTTCAACAGAATCCTCAAGTTGATTAAATGATTATTATTCCATTATTCATCACTAAAACAGTGTGATATATTTCAGCATTACTTTTACTGAAATTTTGAATTTCCTTTTAAACTTAATGTACATCCATTCCAAAGATGTTTAAATTCCAATGCCTTTTAATGTGTAAATAGGCCAATTTGTATAAGTTTTTCATTTTATTATCTGTGATTAAAACCGTATTATTAGACTATTTTAATAAGATTTGTATTTTTAAAATATTTGTTTATGTAATGTGTTTATTATTTATTAATAAACAGTCAGAAATTTATTGTGTTGTTTATAAAATCATGTTTCTTGTCATGATCCACATAGCTTCATATGATCAGCTAAATATATTTCCTTTTCACTGTGGTACAAGACATAGATTGTACAAAGATAGCATATTGTGTCAAGAGGCTATATGAGTAAAAATCCATGGAACCTTAGAAAACGTGTATACAACTTATGTTCTGACACCTCTTTTTGGTACAAAACCATAGTAGGTATTTTACTTGAAATCAATCAAAACAAAAATGATCTTCAAAGAAATCAAAGTATTTGTAAAGATTGAGAGAATGCCATTATGGACATCTTCCTAAACTTATAGTAAATTTTCTATAATACTGAAGAAGATTGATCAATATTTGCCCAATTTTCATAAATCAATATTCCATGTAAAAAAAGAAAGCTTTTTCAGCTGTATTAAGTTTCTAGAGATTCATTTTACAAATTTTTATAATTTCTGGACTATCGTCATTTCAGATTTGACTATTAACTAAATTTATTAGTTCAAATGTACGCCGGTAAAATTAATGTGGTCTGTTTTAAGCGAAAACGATCGAAGGGAGGTAAATCTATTTAAAGTTTTTACTGGATAATTGTGACTTTACGTCACGTGATGATAAGGGGAAGTAACTGTCAACAAAAGAATTAGGAATTTTTCACTCAGAAATAAATTTTTGTTTATTTTTTTCACTGAAGGTAAAAATTGTCGATCATATGAAATATAATTTGCAGACACCTCTGTTCCTTGATCGTATTGATCATTAATTCTCTTGAAAATTGTAAAATTCGAGTCATTTGGAAAGTTTCACTCATCAATGACTCACTTTTCTCATCCGCAGACTTAGATTCAGTTAGAAGTAGTCAGACTCCAACTCACAGTCGCTCCAACAATTTAAAATTGAAGTAGATTCACACCAGACGTTCTTTGTTGATTAGCCTTTTGATTTAACTTCATTGCAGATATTAGTAATAAACAATGAACTTCAGATAAGACCCCTTATCATTTGAGAAACATGTTGAATTGACAGTTTTATTACAGTTAAGGAAGTAATAAAACTATGTGAAGTGGTCTGAATGGTAAATCTTACTGTATGAGTGGAACTATAGATAATTCTTCATCCAGTAGTGGTGGGAGCGCCACTGAAAGAACTGGATTGATGTCTAATCGTGGAAGCAGATCGGGTCAAACACCCCAGTCACCCCAACAACAAGATGGTGGAGGTATTTTTAATGATTCAGCTAATATCACACCATTGACAGAGAGAAGTAGAAATGCTGAAAATAGAAATGTACGTACAAAATATTACTTTCTTTTTTTCTTGCTTAACTTTTCCTCTTATTCCTATTATTAATAGGCCTACCAAAGTTATTTGAATATTTTATAAGCTTAAGGCAACTGTTCTTATTTGAAAGCTTTTGACATTATAGATCATAAAAATCATCAACAAAGATTTCTTTGATGTTTTTACAGGACAATCGATCAAGACGATCAGCAGCAGATACCTCAGTAAATAATGCAGAACGTCCAACACACAATTCACAACAACGACCCAGTGGTGGAGGGGGTGATGGGGGAGAGGAAGAAGAAGAAGAATCGTTTATGTATGGAGCTAATAGTGTTATTATGTTATTTGTACCTGTTACACTATGTATGGCTGTAGTAGTAGCTACTATTAGTTCAGTCACATTTTATACAGAGAAAACTGATGGTTATCTGTAAGTCTGTTTGATTTTCTCTTTTTTCAGTATTTTTAGTTTATTTATATATTAATTCTAAAAAATAACTGTGAACCTTGATTGGTAAAATGTCATTAGACTCCCTTAAAGTTTAGACAGTGAATTTGAATTCCAAGGGAATAAATAATATTGTTGAATGTTATTATTATATTTCAGTATTTACACTCCATTTCATGATAAAACAGATGATACTGGAACTAAACTCTGGCAGTCATTTGCTAATGCCTTTATATTATTGGGTGTTATCTGTGTTCTCACCATTTTCCTACTGTTACTCTATAAATTTAGATGTTATAAGGTTAGTTTTACTTTTTATTTCAATTTCTTAATATGTAAGAAAAAGTCAGAAAGCTGAGATATGGACATAGTATTTGTTTTTTAGAAGAGTAATATGTATTTAAATTTTACTTAACTATAGCTAATTTTTAGCACTGTAAATACAGAGCTTTAACTAAGGTCTTAATTCTATGGGGCAAAAATATTTTGGGGAGGGGTAGGGTAGACTTTAAACGCTTTTCCAAAGAAATATAATATTAAGATTTTTACAAAAAATTTTCCACAGAAAACCGTGCCAATTTCACTGCAACTGAAGAACCCTTCTCAGACATCTTGAGTTTACTGTAATGTGAATGGGCGTATTTTATCGTGGTATGGTCTGGACCAGCTTTATACCAGCTTATATGTAGTTAGATATATTTTTATCTTTATTATTTTTAGGTAATCCATGGTTGGCTGATTGTATCATCTTTAATGTTATTGTTTTTGTTTTCGTACATCTATCTTGGGTAAGTTCCATAATATTATACTCACCAGAAGTGTATGGATATGAGACATCTGTTTTTTTTGTGTTTTAAGCAGGAAAGTTTAATTGATATTCTGATATAAATTCTTTACAAAAAAAGCAGACAGATTCACGCCATTCCAATTTTCAGTAAGACATCTGTGATTCTCCCAATTTAAGCATTTAATGATGTCACTATCAATTAGATATCATTACCAGCATTTGCCGTTGTGACGTCATAAAACTGGATAGTAACCATAATAACATAAAAATACCTTTACAATCTTTTTAAACAGTATAAAAAATACTATATTATGACTATAAATATAATTTCAGTGAAGTATTGAGAGCCTATAATGTACCAATGGATTATGTAACAGTTATTATACTAATGTGGAACTTTGGTGTAGTGGGTATGGTGTGTATACATTGGAAAGGGCCATTATTACTACAACAGGCCTATCTGATTATGATCAGTGCCCTGATGGCTCTAATATTTATTAAATATTTACCAGATTGGACAACCTGGGTAGTACTTGGTGTAATGGTAGTTTGGGGTAAGTTTACCATGTTATTGACATTGCAAATATTCTTGGATTATCCAACTTTTATAAACACGGCTATTTATTGGTTTAAAAATGAAGATACTGGCTGTGCTGAACTGTCAGGAGTCATTTTGATTCTGCTGTTTTGCATAATGCATGGCTCACACTATTGGTGACTCAAATAAGATTATGTTATTGTGCATAAATTTCCTCTTCATCAGCCAAATTATGTGAAGAAGATTAGGACGTAGAACTCATTTCATTTCACTTACTAATCTGTATCTGTTTTATTTGCAGATTTGGTGGCTGTATTGTGTCCTAAAGGTCCATTAAGAGTTTTAGTAGAAACAGCACAAGAAAGAAATGAACCAATTTTTCCTGCTTTAATTTATTCCTGTAAGTATCATTACTTTATATAGAATTTACATAAATCTTTCAGAGATGACTAATATATTTATAGTATGTCTGAAAATACAAAAGATATAAGCTCTTCACAGAGAGTTGAAGGTCATCTGCCAATTTCAAATTAAATAATACAGAATATATACTAAAATTTTGTTTGGTTTGAGGTGATTTCAAGTTGGAAAAGTAATAAAACTTATTGAAAATATAAAATATTGAACCAAGTACTTCAAAACAAGTTGAATTTTTAATTTACACATCTTAGCCTAGTAGAATTAATGAGAAAAGTGTGTAATTGTGATTAGTAATATAGAAATGTGTATTTTAGCCACAGTAATGTATCAAACTATAACAATGGCTGATGACGCTGAAGGTAACAAGAAAAAACGTAAACAGAAGAAGGAAAGTAATACAGTGGAAGAGAATGGTGCTACTCCTGTACAAACAGATGGTGCTGTAGATGATGAGGATGATGGTGGATTTAGATGCAATACTCGTTATTCAAGTCCCATGACTGCTAGTACAGAGTCCACTAGAGCCAGGAATGCTGTTCAAGCATTGAATACTACCAATAATTACCAAACTATAGCAGATCCTGATAGACCTCCTGGTACTGCCACTCCGAATCAACGATCTAGTACCAACTCACAACCTCAAACACAAGATGAAGAAGAACGTACGTATTTTATCTTCAGTCATTTCTTGATTCCTTACTAAGTAAAATTAAATTTCATTTTTCTTAGTCAAAGAAAATGTTATATTGACTGTCCAGGTATGAAATCAAATCAATCCATTTGTATGCTAATGCTTATTTTGATAAAGAGATAGCTGTTAATACTACAATTACTCCCTGACATTTTTGTACTTTTGTCAAACATGAATGGAAGTGACAGCCCAAATTTATTCATAAAAGATGTATAACATGAATCAGTTTATTTAGTCTTTACTAATTTTCATTATACTATTTCTGTATTTCAGGTGGTGTTAAGCTAGGTTTAGGTGACTTTATATTTTATGGTGTTTTAGTGGGTAAAGCATCTTCCTATGGTGACTGGAATACAACATTGGCTTGTTTTGTGGCTATATTGATTGTAAGATTTTATATCCTTATTCTTCAGAAACTTCAGACGAGCTTCATTTTCAGAAACATTTCCCTTTTAAAATTCTCCATACTATCAGATTTCCTCAAATGTTGTTTTACAGTTTATACTGTGTTCTGTCGTCAATTAATGTCACTGGTTTTACCTTGTCAAAGAAAGCTTAGAATGTTATCAGTTATCATGGTTATCTCCCTTTGTCTGTGTTTTTCTCATGTGATTTTATTTTTCACTTAAAGATAAATGAAATTATATTTGAAATTATATTTTTCAGGGGTTGTGTTTCACACTGTTACTTCTGGCAATATTTAAAAAAGCATTACCAGCTTTACCTATCTCTATAACATTTGGTTTAGTCTTTAACTTTGCTACAAGTTCATTGGTACAACCATTTATGGACAGTTTAGCTGCTGAACAGGTGTATCTTTAATCACAGATGTGGTGTTGAGATGTTTGGAAGATTTGTGAAGCAAGTTAAAAATGGATTTATTTCAAAAAAAGTGACTATATGGCCATTGTTAATTTATTTCTTCTAAATATTCCATTAAATTGGATTTTATCAAGTTCTGTTGTCAACAGTTTGAAAGTTGGACATCATTTTAAAAGGTGTGGTTCACCATTTTCGGAGGTCAATCATACCTCAGTCTCAGAAACAGGATTTGTTCATTACTTACTTTCGGAATTTTGGCATTTTTAGCCGTGTTTATCCTTAGTTATCCCTGTCTGAAAATAACATTGACACATTGTCTTTATCTTCACTCAGTCATGTTGTTGATCTTTCAACAGAAGCTGTGACATAAAAATAAAATAGTAAATTAACAATGGTCTTGTTATAAGTTTGGGAACAAATTATGTATATTTTTGTATAAAATTATCATGTTTCATTAATTGTCAATTTCGTTAATATTCCACTATTCAGGTTAATCATGGGAGATCATCATAGGAATACTACAAGCTATGAAAAGGGAAGCAATTTTTTTTCAGCCTAAAATCTTTTTTGGAAAGTACACACAAATATTATTCTATTTGTTTTACTGAGTTATTAACTTAATTCATTAACGTAGTTAAATATATTGAGTTTGTAAGAAGATGAATTTGGGTTTGTGGTGCCCCTGATATATACATATATTTGATATTTTAAACAAGTATTATTATATTAAGAGATTATGAGCCTCAGGCAATATTTAAAAGATTGCAGTGCTGTTGCTAAAAGTATAACAAAGTATTTTAAGTGTATAATAAACACCTTTATCTTTAAAATAATGAGAATTTGTATCCCCTTTAAAGTTGAATCAAATGTTCCACTGCTGTTTAATGTAAATAGTGCTATATTTTTGGTTTCGTATTTTGTTAGATGTTATAAAAATCATCATGATGTTACTTATTGTACATTCTGTTTAGTTGAAAACATGTTGTATTATTGTTAATTTTGTTAATCAAATTATTCTGTTTCGGACCTTGATATTTTTAACTGTAACTGATTAATTGTATTAGTCTTGAGTCAGTACATTACACTTGAAACAATAATAATTCAATCTTTTCACAAAACAATGTTTTCTCTCTAAATGATGATGTATTTAGAAAGTGTATTATGGGCCTATTCATTAATTTATTATTGTCAATAGTCATGATAATATGTACAATTAAAATAAATTCTTAAGACTGATCAATAATCTCTTGTTGAATACTAAATAATTAGCTTTGATTGGCCCGAAGAGCAAACATCCAATGAAAAGCACAAGTCTAATTTATGCTAGGCAGGTTCTCCCTATTCTATTTTATGGGTACGTGCTTGACCCTATATGAAGTTAATTAACTTCTCGCTCAAAATTGGGGGGTGAATATGATGTTCTATCAAAGGATGCAATGTACGCTCTCGACCAGTGAAAAAATAGATATATTACGATCATTTCATAAATTTATTTAACCACTTCTGAAGACATCAGGAGCACTTGAGGAAACAGACTTTCACAATTTTGACAGAAATCAAGATATAGATATAGAAATCAGTCTAACTCTCCATGTGAGTAGTAATAGTTCTCAAGATATACTTTAAGATAAATAGTTTCAAGTATACAAGATATTGGTCCACTTTATTCTAGAATATATACACATCAGATAAATTGGTATCTTTGTGGGTCAGTTACATCCACAACCATTCAACTTATGTAGTTTGGCAAGTCCACAAGGTTCATGAACACCACTAATAACAAAATGAACACTAATACCAACAGACTATGTTTATTGTGAACACCATTAGAACTGACAATGTTTCCAAGATTAGGACAGTTAATCTCCACCACTGGTTTATAAGGTTTCAATGCATTTCTCTCCATTATCTCATGTAACATTATACCCAGTGACCAATCTGAAATAAGAAGGAGAGTTTTTAGTCCAAGAATTTTTTTAGTTGATTGGAAATCTCAAAAAAGTATAGATTTTTGCTTTGCTCTGTGGGAAAAAGTTTTATATATAAGGAAATAGTACAATGTTGCTTAAAGGTATAGATTTTTTTTTTTAACTAATCCTACCCCTGTCTCAGAAACTGATATTTTTTTACCCAAGCTTCAAATCCATGTTCCATAATTATCTGCGTTAAAAAGAGACTGCCTTTTCTTGAGACTCTGTCACATATAGAAAAGACATATATAGAAATAGAAAGTGAAATTCCTAGTTTGAGGTATTTTCGGTGGAATTATGAGAATTTCGTACATTTTTAGAACTTCTGAAGACTATTTAAATATGACCCAATCAACCCCCGAAAATGGCAAAACTGTCCCTTTAATGTATTGATATTACATAAAGCTTAAAGCTAACGTGAAGTGTCAAAAAAATATCGGATAAATAAAAATGACAGACCTGTTTTAACACCATGTATTCTATCAGTAACTATAATATTAGTAGTTGTCTTATTAAAACCATAAGATTGAGTTAACAATAGTGATATATAAACTCCCATTAAACAATATTCACGTCCGTATTGCCTGTCTTTCTTTGACAGGGCACTGAAATTCTGCAACCAAATATTATATAACAATCTTTAGACTCGGGAACACATCTGAATAATTTGATACATCGATTGGTCGAAATTATAGAACTATTAACTATTTGTTGTAATTCAATCCAACGAAGAACAAATTTTAAAAGTATAAAGTACCAGGTTCCTCAATAACTCCTGTTTATCAGAAAGCAAATTTCTAATCTGATTTAATCCAAATTTGAATGTTTCGTTTTGTGTTTTATGTTCTGTGGGTGATTCCACTTAACAGTTATGATCTAACGAAATTGTTATGCATCTCATATTCTTGATTTAACTAACCAAACTTTTTATCAAAGTCCTACTGAACATGATTTAAAGTAGAAGTTGATCATATCAACAATAAAAATTTAGTAACTTTCAGGAAAAAACACGAAACGGAACATCCGGGTTTGTATTTTAATCAGATAGTTTAAGTTAAGAATATTGACAGTAGTAGGCATACCTTGGCACAATGTTTTTCTGTCAAGCTGTTAAACTTAGTGATATTTAATCTTTTAGTTGAATCAATAGCACCAAGATCTCCAGGGGCGTATTTGAATGCACCTATGGCGTAGAATGTGATGTTGGTGACGTTGGGTTGATAAACTGATCCTATAGCACAGGGTTTAGGACTACAGCCATCTCCCTCAGCTTTCTTTAAAAATATCTGTATAATATTTCTACATTGAGTGACGTTACCAGATCCATAAATTATCTTGGTATGGTTATGAGTCTTCACTTTATCTGTGTCTCCTAAACAAAAAAGTTGGCCAATATATTAGTAAGATTGCAGGTGACTTAACATATAGTCAAAAGGTTGATGAACTGCAATTCTCTAAAGAAATATAGTGAAAATCTACTGTCACCTTTCTGAACTGCTGTGAAGCCTGATCCGTAAGATTTTCATGCACTTGATCGGTGATATTTTGAACTTGAGATATCATGAAAACAGAACTCTTATCAGAAAAGCGCCATTATATGTGATGGTGTTTTGAGACATACCTTTTAATCTACAGGGATCTGGAATATGTGTTTTATTACCATGGTGATGATGCAATAACCAGCTATTAACTCTGTTTTTAATATAATTCTGTCCATAATTCAGATAACTATGAACATATAACTCATATCGCTTTTTATCCATGTAAACATGAAATTCGCCGTCATATAAAGGATCCCGTGGGATAAAAGCTATCTGTGTGGAACCACCACCCATTTCTAATATACCAACTGTTCGCACAGGCAATCTGAAAATATATTTTGAAATATCGTAGCAATATATTTCAATTTAATCTCATATAACAATGATATAAGCTAATACTTTAATGGCATTAGCTAATGACAAAGTACAACGCCGTTATTAATGACGTAAGCTATTGTTTGAATGAGAGCTATGGTTTAAGAGTGAACTTTAGACGTGACGGAACGAAAATTATAATAACATTTTTGAAAGTTTTAATTACGATGACGATTTAGAAAAAAGGAATAGTAATATTATTCTAATAACATTAACTATGATAACAATAACGTTAGCTATGACAATAATGATGCCAGTTATGATTACAATGTGCGATATGAGTAGCCTATAATGTGTAAAGAGATGAAGCAAAACTGAATAACGTTATTGTAGTCATAGTGACGTTTAAGATAAAATTTTTCAGAACGATAATGTTCCTTCTTCATTAATTAGCCTACACGGTGCAGAAAAGTAGGACGTAAAACTCCATTCATATTATTTCTACAATGACGATATGGTAGAAATAGTGACGTTTCAGTAAGACATTTTCCTTACAATTTTAAATTTCGTGACGTTTTAGAAAATGAAATGAAATGAATGGAGTTTTACGTCCTACTTTTCTGCACCATGTGGGCTAATGAAGATGGGCAACGCCATTTTTAGAGAGAATTTTTCTTAGTGATGTACTAGAGAGAGTTTATTTCTACAATGACGTTATAGTAGTACTAATGGTGACGTTATAGAAGGAAACTTGCTGTTAAAATTTAATGACATTTTGGCATAGAGATATAAATATTATATACATCTATGCATTATTGTAATTACAGTGACGAGAGTTGTTATGGTAGTCAGAATGATATCTGTTATTCGGCGAACAAAAACGTCTTTCAAGGGGTAAAAAGGCCATATCTCCGAACCAAGACAGAAAGGCACTCACCCGGAAGTAAGATTAAACACACCAAGAAGATAATTTACTGATAACCATGAATAAACACCTTCTTCTTCTCCGGACAGTATCTCTACATGTCGAGGTTTAAAATAGAAAGGGTTAGTGGTGGAATTAGACAGGAGTCGCCTGACTGTTCGTACAAAATACCTGGCATCGTGACTAGATAATGTTCTGGTACCTGAAAAGACAAAAAAAGTATAATATATTTTTTGGCACTGCAACTCGAGTTGATCCTATTTTACACAGGTAATCAACTGTTCGTTCCAAATATTTCCGGGCAACCTTTGATATAAATAAAAATTTTGGCACGCCATCTGTTTACATCATAATATTTGAAAGAATGGAGAGTTTATTTAAGTATATGTTTATATTTTCTGTGCACCATCAAATAAATCATATCTTACCCGCAGTAGACATCAAAAATAACGGAATTTCACCAACTTCTTCATGATGAACTGATTGATTTATATATTGAACAGCTACATCTATAGCATTCAACAACTGAAGTTCCAGCATATCAGGTTCACGAGCATATTTAGCTAGGTTCACCTTAATCCGTTCATTATGAACCAAATGTATTTTAGGAACATTGGTGTGTTTATGTGAATCTATAATCCACTGATAAATTCTAACTTTAATACTGCTGCTACCTGCATCTAGAATAACTCCGTGATGCGGATGATTTTCGACAATTTTAGGGAATGTTGGTTGGATTATCACACTTAAAAATACTAATATATAAATGCACGCCATCTTAAATCTTTATTTTCTACTATCACTCTTTAACTATCTGATTTCATATTTTCTCGTCACTGTTTCTGAAATTCCAATACGAAAAGTGTTAAGGAGTAAATTTGAAATATAAATGTTTAGGAAAAGGGCGGAAAGAACTAGAAAAGGTATATAGAATTGCTATAGTAACCATACAACAAGTATCCTGTTATTGTAAATATTTCTTACACAATTATTCCATCGCCGAATTTTGAATCTGGTAATTTTTAGTCCGAAAATCTGAAAGTTTAATACTATAGTTATATACATTTCGTCATGCCAATACTAATTTCTTTAATTCTATACAACTAATAACAAGTAACTCATTTTGCCTAGGCCCTGTCGATCGTAATCTTTATTTTCAATTCCGACATCGCCAAAATCTTTCGCAACGTAAAAGCTATCGACTTTGTTAAAGGTTATTGTAAATATCAAAAAAATATCTCAAACTATAGAATTTCTTTTCCTATTTCTGTAGATGTCTTTTCTATTATAGAAAATACATTATACATGACAGTATCTCAAGAAAAGACGAATCGTCTTTTTAACTTTCAAAAGCGGATTATTCTGGACACACTTGTATTTTTGAAGGCTCACATTTCGACAGTGAGTTGTGAATACTATCGACTTAACGAACAAAAATTCCGTTTCTGAGACTAAGGTATGATTGGTCACAAAAAGAATGGCGAATCTGTCCCTTTAAAAGCGAAAATAAGCTAAATTTCGGCTCCGTTATCGAACAAATGTTGATGATTTGTCAGTGGTTTTGGATTATTCATATAACTCTTAGAATAATAGTAATATGGTGCTCATTGAGTGGACCTGATTACCTCACAGCAAAATACAATAGAATTAATTCCAGACGACTTCAACCTTTACAGCAATTGTTTTTAAAAAATAGGCTGTTTTTCTTTCCCATTAAAACTGTTAGTTTTAAATGAATTTAGAGAATTTCGGTCAAGGATCAAGAAGTGTGGTTAAGTATAATAAATTAAACTTATTTTGTTATTTCATTCTCTTTGAAGCCTGGCATTTATTCCAGTTAAATGGTTTTCATGATATTGATATGTTCCTGTTTATGTTCGTGTCAAGATTTTCAGTAAAGGAACATCCACTTTAAAGCCATTGTTCACCATCTTCAATCTAAGAGATGATTTGGGCCTCGAATCCGTGGCAGCGCCAGCCTCTCGAGACTGGCACTTAAAACAACATGAAATAACAAGATTCTATTTCGAGTTATATCACCTGTATGATGCGATTAGAATATTTCTATCTATACGCAATGCGAGAAACAAGGTTAAAGTGTATATTTATTTGACTGAAAACAGCAGGTCAAAGTTTCTGGTTTACTTTCACCAAAATTTACCATGATACTATATAGCTGAATTACAAAAATACTAGCAGGAATTTTAAACTGAGGTATTGAGTTCAGCTGTTTAGTCTTTAGAAATTTCCCATTGGAATACCCAGAATTAAGAGACAGCAAACAAGTACACCAATTTGTATTCAAAACGGAACCCTATAAATTGTGCTATTTTTTTATAGTTACTTATAAACCTATCACCTGTAAATAACCAGCGAGTTGGACTTCTGATAGTAATATAAGTGACATCCAATATTTCTCATCAGATTTTGTCACTCTGTTGTAAAAGATTAGAAACATTCATACTTCTATTACATATCTTACCTGCGAGATAATAGAATCCATCCTTTGCCCATGTTAAAAATAGCTATAGACAGGCACTGTTATTGTCCACACTTAATAGATATTAACACTTCCTCTTGTCCAGGAAACGAGTCTTTGAATGCTCTGGTCTGTCAATATAGTCATCTATATAAACAATAATTTGACCACGTGAAGGCTATCTAATTCCATGTATACTATAAGTTTCACTTATAAACTTCACTTACGAAATTCTGCTGAGATCGTTTTACTGCAATCTATATCCCGCATCACACTGTTTTATTTTTCTTTCATGATACAATGTGTTTGTCTTGATATTACCATCTTGACAGATTGCCCCATGTCTCCCCTATTGAACACGATCCTCACCTGCCATCTGGTATAAACATCACATTTAAACAGTTCCACCTAATTTCAATACAATTATTTTTAATGGGTGGAAATATTTTCTTTTCACTCCATAAAATATAGAAATATACAGAATGCTGCTGATCTAACCCATATAATACTTCAGGGTGGTCACCAGTCTCTCTATAGCTTATCTTTAATCTTATCAGTTTTATTCCATATAGTTTGGGGTGGGAGAAAAAAAAATGCATAGCACCCAGAACTATAAATCAAAATTAATTTAAAAAAACCTGGCCCGGCGACCTAAACTTATGACGGTAGTGAATTTCCGTATTTATCCAAACTTCCATAGATCCTGCATAACAATGATGTCTATTTCGGTATCTTCATTTTGATCAACTTTGGTCGTTTTTGATTATAATTTTCGTTAGAAGTTGGGCATATTTCGGGGTTATGAATAAATGTTATCCTTCAGATTTTCTTATTAAATTTGTAAATCTAAATGAAATTCAAATAATGTAAACCATCTGTTTCTGTTGACATGATGTAAACAAACAGGTAATATACAACAGTACTTACATTTAAACTTCGTTTTAGTGTACAAAGCTTAATTCTTTATTCTTACAGGCTATAACTACTAGCTTTCGCTTATTACTTCTTACCTTTAGATGTTTGTGAAGGCAGGGTTAACCTATTTATTTGATGCCAATTGGTTGGTTTTGGTGAGAGTTAATCGTAACTCTGAGTAACAAGATGATTCTGTTGTAATATTTCTAGTAAATCCATTATAATAATACAAAAATCCACAATTTTAGTAAGATCAAAAATTTCTTTCAAATATATAATCTGAAGATTTGAAAAATCAGAAATGTATATATATTAGAATGTAGAAATAGTTTGACATTAAAAGTTATTTTAAGGCAAAATCCAACATAACCTGTTTATTACCTGTTAACAACAAAACTGTGTGTTACAGTCAAAATATTTTGATAGTTTTAACACGATTTTTATTGTAAGATATATATATGAATTCATCCAGTGACGTCATACAGTGATATAATATGCAATGGAAGATGGAATTATATCAAATACTGATAAAATCTATCTCCCTCGTCTGTAAAGAGTAAAAGTTGTTATACTCCAGTGAAATGTTGACATAATATTATTTTATTTATATAATTTTATCAAACACCGTCTCACAGTGTATAATTAAGTTATTTAAGATAACATGTTATATAATATGTTCCACTGAGACCAATACCAGACTTACAGATTCACTGTGGTTGATTCTCTGATGCCTCATTTTATTCCAGTAGACAAATTACCGTGTTGTTTATTGAGCATGTTTTATTCTCGGATATAATGTTTTTGTGTTCTTCTATATGCTTTTCTTTCGAAAAAAAATACGCGCTTAAAATACACGAGTATTGTGAATTGTCCTGGGAGTCTTCATAGATGATATTACCTGTTTGAAATCCATTTCAATTACCTTATTGAATAATAACATGCTTGCCACATGTTGAATATTATCTACATGTATAAGTGAGATACTCCATGTTTCTATAATCAGATGAATCTGTCTGATTAACATAAATTGTTGATTTGATATTCATAATATTAATATGCAATATCATTATTATTCAACATCATGATGTTAATATGCAATATTCAACATTATGCACAGACAAACTCATTAAAAATGACATGCAACAGCACAATGTCCTTATAATATGAGAATATAATATGATCTTGTCTACATACGTACAGTGTAGTTTTCAAATAATCTACCACTGTTCACTTCTAATGAATTCATTTTGACCAATCAAAGCGTGCTATGCAGGGCCCTTTCTTGAAATCATTAGAATTGTTGGATGTCAGTTGTGAGAAAGCTGTCATCTTGCTCTATTTGGGTTTCGCTATCCCATAGCATTTTATGTTATCAATAAACGGGTTCTACAGAAATAACCGTATCAGTCAATGGAATTTATTGAGATTATTCAGGTTCAAGAATCGTGATTTGATCAGCTCAAGATAGTGAGATGAACTCTAAGTCTAATATTCAATGTTTTTTTTTTGTCTGAAAGTGTTAATCCGCAATATGAACTCAAAATGAAAGAAAAAAAAGTTTGGTAAAACCATACAGATAAAAGAAAAAGAAGTTATATTTTAATGAAGGTCTTTTCACTTCGAATCCAGTCCGTAGCTTGTCAGTAAAGTTATCCAAACAAAACATAACGTCTGTTATTAATCTTAGAGGAGCCATTCGTTTGACCAATCTCGGAAACGAATTTTTTTCAGCTTAGCTTTTCAGTAATAGTATCATAGCACATTGTTGAATTTTGAGCCTTCAAATCCATTTGTGTCCAGAATTATCTGCGTTTGTACGTTAAAATAACGACTCGGCTTTTCTTGAGACTCCGCCATATATAGAAAAAGAAAGTGAAATCTTTAGTTGAGAGTATATTTGAAGGAATTATGCGATTTTCATGAAGCTCCGGTACTTCGAGGACTAAGAGACAACTATAAATATGTACCATTCCGATACTGTCAGAAAACCCTCTAACGCCATTTCCGGTTTTTTTTTTATTCTTTTGAAATGTAAGCCTTAAAATAAAATTGAATTAAAAAAAATATATACATTTGCCGTATAATCATACCAAAATACCTGTTTACAATCCCTTTAATATCATATACATGTACCTTAATACTGATCCTTTACACTGGTAATCCTGTGAGTAAATAAACTTAAAAAGATCACCACATTAGATCAATGAAAGGTGAAGGATCTAATAGTAATATTTCCTGAAGAAAAAACTAGCACTACTATAATAAATGATGATATTTGTAGATCAGTCTATGATATTATACTGATACTCTGTGATGATAAAATAATATTCTACAGGACCTCAACTAAATATACTCTATCGATTAGAATATTTACACTTCTACTTCTCTTTAAAGGACACCTTTCCTGCAAAAAACACCTCTAACAGTTCGTGACTCCAAACAAAATTTGAAGTGATGGTTGCTAACTTCCAAGTATTGACTTGGTTGTTAGACCTATCATTGTTCTTTAAAACGCCTTGAAGCCTTCAAATGAATATAGGTCAAATAAAACAAAGCTCACTCTGAAAACTATTATAGACCTATCACTTCCGATTTAAGTTCTATATAAATTTCATTTGGTAATATTACAAAATTACACATCATTTTCATTTCATTGCTAAAGGCTTCCTACCAAACCTTACCCGCAAATTTTACGCCCGCTGATTGGTTAAATCAAGCTACACATTATTCAAATCAAAGCGTCACATGGTCAGCTGTTCACCGATCGCAGCCTTACTAGGTAACTATATTTGAATTCATTTTTCAAGCAGAAAACCAGTTATATACCCATCTCCAAACCTTTTAAGTAAATACAAATCAACGGTATAGTAGTTCAATTGAACAATAGATTTTATCAATTTATTCTCATTTATACACTTGGGTAGTATTTGTTTAGTTATTATCGTGGACTAACTTATAAAGACAATATAATTCTGATTTTGTCGTTATTGATAATCAAATACAACCAATCCTCGAGAGACATGTATGTCCATTCGATAATAATCCCAAAATTCCAATCAATCTACAGTAAATTTATTGTCTCATTAAGCAATGTGAACAGCAATAAGCACCGCTATTAAATTATACAGCGAATAAAAAGGAGCTTTAATTCACAAGTATGCGAGTTGCATCCGTTAAAGTTGAATATAAGATATATATATATATTATGCAAAATATAATTGAATGCCTGTATTGCATACCTTAAAATAATATTAATTGAATAAAGTTGTAGCATGAAGTAAGCTTCTGTTTAGTTTATATATGAAGTGTCAAATGTAATTAATTTGTTATTGATGTACAGATTAAAAAGATACGAGCTCTTGTTGGGTGTAAGGGATAACATCATAATAATATTATATATGATATTTGATAAAAGGATGCATGGTGATAATTATACAACATAATACATATAATTTTCGATAAAGGGGTGTATACTGATAATTATACAATTATTAATTACAATATCAACCATAGAGGGATAGTGGGGATGGGGATGGGGGACCGTTTATGCAAACCTTAAATCATGTACCATATAATATGCACAAAAAGTTAGTCCAAACTATGATTAATATCAGCCGATTGTCTGGTTTGAAAGCAAATTACATCCTACTGAAAAGCCACAATAATCATTCGTTGTGGAGTTTATTGGGTTAATGACTATAAATTTGCCAGAGTCAATGTTCAGTCTAAGTTACAGAAACTTTGGTAATCTGTAACCGCCATAAAGCAATTTATGGTTTTATTTATGCCGAACTAATGTATGAAAGTTATGGACTAAGATATTTTATAGATTCGCTATGATTATATTTCATTATTTATTGTCGACGTTTGATCCCTCAGATGAAACTAAACGACGAAGATATAAAGAGGTGATATTCATGCCATGGTTATCTCAATAAGCCAGGATTTTTCTTCCAAAACAGTGTTATCTTTTGAATGTGATAAATAGAATAATCGTGGCAAGTTTTTTTTAAATGAGTTAGAACTCTAAAGTTTGTTTGAGTCAAGATTAATTAAAAGAGAAATACATATTATAAAGGTGGGAGGAATTTTTTGATTTACAGACGGATGCTTAAAAATAATCGCTTGTATAAACTGTCATACATATTACACAATAATTCTCTTGCGACAGTCAATTAATCATTCAAATGTAAACTTAGATTCAATTTAAATAAAATGTTTATTATTTTATTTATATACACAGGAGAATTCTGTATTGGAATATTGCAGAGTAGATTACCACGGGTGAGCTAGTTCGTGAAGGAATTTCACATGAACACAGAACAATTATGAAAATCAGATTAATAGCAAGTCATTGAATTAGTCCTGATAGAAAACAGTTGTAGAACTAGAATTGAATCATAAACCCAGTATGATTCTAATTGATATTTGTGCAGCAATCTAATATTTTGTCTCTGGGGACAATCATATTTATTGACTAACCAGCTCAATCCGTCCGCCAGTAATATAATAACAGACCAGACTTCGACAACATTACTAATACATGTGTCCGAAAATGCCGATAAAACAAGGTAAAGTTTTTCTGACCCTATTCCATCCGACAACTGTCAAAATAGTTATCAGAGGCTGAAATGGAGGCAGACGTTTCTAACTGACGAATATATAGTAATTTGTTCTCCAAGTTTGAGACTTTAAATCGTATGTCCATTCTAAATGGTAGTATCCTTTTAAATATTCTTAATTCCAACCTCCACAGAGAATCTTCAATAGCAAAAGTCGTCGCGCAAAAACACAATTAGAAGAGTTGAAGAAATGTATCATATAAACTTGGCACGTTTTGCTAAATCAGGGGCAATAATTAAGATTCCTTAATATATTGAACTATTCTTACAGCTGGTCCGGGTTATCAATGTACAGCATGTTTTACCGAAATGTACCTATTTTATTGCATAGGAAGTAACTCTTAAATCACTTGTCGAAATTTTGTCAATATGAAGTCTTTTCAGATAGCATATTATAATGTTAGGTATTGCGAACTCTATCTTATACCTTGATATCTTAGAGGTATTGCAGTGATTGGATTGTACACTAGTAAATACAGCCAACTCAAGCCCTTGACAAAAAGACTGTAAACAATATGGCTGCGCAAGTAACTTCCAACCTTATAATCCAATTATTAGACTCAGTTCATAATACCTCGACGTAGTGCATCCCCTCTATGAAGAAATAATTGTACCACAAACATTAAGAGAATGTCAGGCAAGGTAATATACGCCCACTACCAGCTGTCAGAAATGACAACAAAGTCTTTAGTGGCTTAATAATATTATTTCAAAAAATCTTTAAAAAAACTCTGAAACAGTCCATCAAATTATCATTATATTAAAATATGAACAAGTTCTCAGCGACGTACATACAATAGAAATAACTCTGAAACTGTTCTTCCGATAATTACCAATTTTTAAAGTTGACCGAGATCTCATCAATATATACCTGCATACCAAGTTTGACCGCATCGTGCATACATGCCAAATTTGGCACGTTTTTACTTAGTCAAGGGCAATAACTCCGAAACCGTTCGTCCGATTATCATCAGTTTCGAACTTGACCGAGATCTCAACAATATATACACGCATACCATGTTTCATCAATAAAAATATGATATAAACTGTAATCTCTATCGTTTTCTACGAACCAAATTTATTTAGTCAAGAACAGTAACTGTTCATCCGATTATTACCAGAACGAACGGAAATGACGTACATGGAAATTTCCATGTGGGCCTATAAAAAAAAGTAAGCTTTGCCGTTAAATGAGAATGCTGAACATTGGTGAACAATAAAGTTGATCGTTTATGAATTATTTTATTTTGTATGAATTTATTTGTTAATAAAATATAGATGCATGCAATATACACATATAATATATTGAAAACCAAGTAACAAATATCACAATTATATAAAGATAATTACATATAAATGTATTGTTTCTGGGAAAGCTTATCTTTCTTTAAACCACTGTCCCCCATTATTATCATATTCATTATTATTTTATAACACTGCAAAAACCCCGAAGAATTGTGTATGAATATGAATATTCTACATAAAGAAAAAATCCATCCATATATTTTGCAGCTGACAAATAATCACACAGTCTCTAAAAACTAAAGTATTTTATCTTCTCTTTATCTTTTTCGTAAAGTTAAGTAAATGGATTTCAAATAAAGCCCGAAATGAAAAAAAAAAGCTGTAATTATGTCACAATCATGAATATTTATCATGTTTTGTCCTTAAATAACATCTATCTAAGCCTTGAAAAAACTGTTTTTTAGATAAAAGCACCTTTAAGAATATATACAGAAAAAAACATATTATATTCTATGAATATATACATTATATATATATCTACTGACTTGTTGACATATAGTGCCCAGAAGGTCATACACAAACCAAATTCAGAAGCATTAGTAGCAAGTAGGCTTGTTTCAGCCTTCAATCAAGGGAGAGAACTCTAGACTTCTTTTTGGAAAGCTGTTAAGAAAATTTAACAACTGTCAAACTTTAGAACTAGGCTTTCAGTTTATCATCATTTCAATCATTTATTCTAAATAATAAATCATCATACATTTATTATAAAGAACATATGAAGTAGAATTTAGTCTGAAAAAATCACCATTATAAACAGGCTATTAGCTAGTTTAGGTTCACATAATTCTGTTACAGTCAAATCTATGTAGTAGAAAAATGTCTATTTCAGATAATTCAAAACATAGGACATGATTATTACAAATTGATTCACTTGTATGAGGTTTCAAAACATTTGAGATGAAGTTAAAATATGGAGCAAGATTCCTTATTTACGAATAAAGAATAATCTGAAATTGAGTGAAACATTGATCCATCATATACACACTGAATAGTCAATACAGTATATTTTTCAGGAGACTTTAAGAGTAAATTATACTATAAAGGCAAAAGAATCAGAGGGGATGATTTATTTTGGCACAAATTCATAATTCTATAAGATTACCCTTATTTCCTTTGCTTAATTCATCATAAACTCAACAATACAGTATCATAGCTTTGAATTGTATCTCATCTTTGCAAAATTCAAGTTTTAAAAGCAATTAGGCAGAACACAGAGAAAGTCAGTTGGCAACATGATTAGTAACGAATCTAAAATATTATAATATTAACAATATTGCTCCTCACTTTAGTAACAATAATAACAAACAAGAGTGAATGAATGAATGATTGGACAAACAAATGAATGATAAAGAATGAAAGAATGGACAAACAAATGATAAATGAGATGATGAATGAATGAATGGACAAACAAAATGAATGAAATGATAAATGAAAGAATATTGAATGAATGAAAGCTGATAAAAGAATGAAATTAATGAATAAATGAGTTAATACATAAGGCCACAATATTTTTTGAGGATATATTATAGGTATAATATTGTTAAACATATTCATAAAGTTTATTGAGCACTAAAGGAACTTCAACCAGTATTAATCAAAATGAAACTGGCTGGATAAAGAGCTAATTTTGCAAGAAATATAATCATCCACAGATTTGCTCTACCATAGCTCGATTTCAACTAAAACTTATATGGTTATATGTGGTAGGGCAGCGCGGCTTGGTAAGATGTCCTGGTTTGCTGGGTATCTCGGGTCTGATGTCACTATAGTCGATATTAACAGATTTAAACGTATTTGTATGGAAAGCGGGCTAGTCGGAGTAGCCAGGCACCCCAGTCTGTAGACAAGGAACCTTGACTATCAGTGTCAGCTAGGTATTCATATAAGCCTCATACCTTCGATCATATTAAAAGGCAAAACTTTCAACCTTGGTAACCAAGCCAGCTTGATTTACAGGGCTAACCCTTTACATATAACCAGGCCCTAAGTAGAAGTGACAATGTCAAAATTTTTTAAGGCCGTTATAAGCTGTTGTGTTGTTAACACCTGTATAGAAGAATGTTAATTACACATCTGAGCTATGAGCTTTATTTTTATCACATTTCTAAATTTAATTTTTAAACTAGTTACAGATTGCTGTTTAAGTTGATATGAAAGAGATTTGGTCCTCTAATCCAAAATAATAAGGCAATATGTAAGCCTGAATAGAATTTGGAGTATGTAAAAAAGTGTGAAATGTAATAAAGAAGAGATTTGTCCTGTCAGCTGTATTGATACTATTAAACTACTATATATTACTGAGCAGTTGGAGTTGTACAGGCTTTACCAGTTCGACTCTCTAATATCAATCTGAAGGCCTGAAAAATAACATACTTCGTTTATTTGATTTTCACAAATAATGAATCAATCACTATATAACTACCAATATGTATGTTTGTATGATGTTCATCTTACTACATACCCTATTTCACAAAAACATAATTTAAAAGCCAAATGTAATTTCAAACAAACAATCTAACGAATTTATGTGTTTAAAATTTTCAATAAGCTTAATCTTAAATGAGAATCCAATCAAAATGGTTCATATCACCCATAGATATTTGCAGACAATGTTAGTACAAAAGTAATACTGTAATTTTGAAGAACAAGAAATAAAGAGTTATGTGCCCTTACCTTCAACATACCAGCAATCCAAAGTTTACCACATTTAGCACTTTCATCTTTTTTGATCTCCATTTTTAAAATTTGATAATCACCAAAACTATCTTTAAACCGAAGAGCTATACCTGTGACAATTTTCTGACCTATAATTTATTGAAAAGATATTGATAACCCTCTATTTGCCAATCTTTACTGAGACCTCAGAATTTTGTGATGTCATAATGAATGACATAATGGCAAACTGCATTTATGAGGTTCTATAACACTTTCTGGTAGAGTGTTCTAGAGAGTTCTTTACATGACGTCATTTGCTAGGTCACGTTGAGCAAATGGCAGCTGTGGGTGACCTTGAATAAGTCATCTTCACTCATAATTCCAGTCGACCAAGCTGTAAATGGGTACAGATAATACGGGAAAGATCAATACCAAATGGCTTGTCCAAGTACCAGCTGGCAGAAAGGATTCTAAACTGTGAACCTAAGTTAGTATCCTTTGTTCTTTCGTTTTGTGATCTTTGTTAAAACTTTTTCACCATTAAAATCAGTTTTACTTTTATGTAAATAAGTCCAAATATACCAAGTAAATTGGTACATTAAAGTAACATGATTTTATAGAAATTATACTTTGACAAGCTCATGCCCTAATCACATCGATAGTGAATTAAACTACAACAAAAGCCACTATTACACTGTACTAAAGTGAATGACAGCTATTGATATTATGATCTGATAAATGAATGATGATGACACTGAATCTTTTAAAGGATTTACACCTGGTATTACCTTGCAGTTCTCCTGCTAGCAAGAAATAATAACGATAAGAATAAATGCCAATAATTATAGTATTATTACAGCCATTTGCCATCAGAGACTGATCTTGCACTAGAAATACACATGTGAGATCCAAATCTTTAAAACATAAGTTAGCATAGTCTGCATTTCAGATCAAGAGCAAAGTAAATAGACAAGTTACTATAGCAATAGACATCCTTTTGTCAACTAGTATTATATTTAGTCCATGAAATACCTTTGTTTTGGGTCCAAATATTTTTTAAGCAAGGCCAAAAATTTTGCATAAAGTTATGTAGAGATAAATCAAATCAATAAATTACAATGATTTTGTGCTATGGCCAAATTTACTTACCAAGTTGATTAGCCTCAGATGATATAATATTGATTGTGTCAATTTCTTCTAATAATATAGAATCCATTTTAGAATGCTCCCCTTCAAACACTAGATATCTACAAATATATACGTTCAGATATTACATCTATCTATTTCAGTTATTGATGGTGTTTGGACAGAAATAATAACTTCAAGTCTACCTGATTTGATATGGCATACTTTCTATAAAAAAAATTAATTATGAACAAACTACGTAGGTAACTTAAGAGATTTTATGTAAATAAATTTTACTTTTATCAAGGTTCAAATGATTGTATCACAATTTCAAGCAGTTTGATTCAACCGGGGTCAAGGACTAGTTGACAACATCTAGCCATTGATGGGTCAAGTGATTGTCATCATTTATTCATGATTATTTGAAAAGAAAGGTTGAGTTTGAAGTCACCTTTCATTAGGACAAAGCTGCAGATAAGAATTAAATATTAGCTAAGTTAATTTGATTACCTACCTTTGATCTGAAGCTAATTTACATAAATATGATGTACTGATTTCAGAATCATCACTACCTTCTGTTATCATGAACTCACCTCCTGTCAAATATCAATCAATCATGCTAGTAACTTATGATTTAAGAGCATTGTAAATAGGTTTTCTAAACTTTTTATGTATGTCCAGGACATTGATAGCATTGATTTGTACCATGTCAATTTCACTAAAAAGGAGCATTATATGGCAGAGCTATCACAAAGGCACTTAGAAATTATAAGCGGCCTTTGGGATAGTGATAGTCATATACAGTTAAACATTTCTAATATTACAGGAACTACAAACATCTGATAGAATATTGGATTGATGAAAAACAACACGTTTAATGTGAAAATCCTCAAACTTTGGAGAATCCAAATTACTACTTGTATTTATGTGAATATCATAAAAGTCAAACATTCAAAATAAGATGATAAATAATTAAATCAAGAAAATTTATCCAACTAACCACTTAACAATGTCTTCAAATGTTTATCAAAAAACTCGTTTTCTTTGCGTGTGATTTCTGAACAGGAAGAACATAGTCTAACAGGATCAATAAAACTCATTCTAGGCAGAGCAAGTTTATTATCACAGCAACTATTACAATATATATTACCACATCTTCGACAATGGTGCTGAAATATCAGAGCATTCATATCAACTTCTCAATTTCTCCATTCAATTTTATGGGCCTACAAGCTGGTACATTACATAACTTATTTCAAATGTTCATTTTCATATTATATCAATAGGCTTTGTAAGAGAAAGATGCTAAAGCACAACAATAAAAACAGAATCAAAATGTGGTTAACATACCCTTCTTCTTATAAAATCAAACTTGGACTGACAGGAACTGTTCATACAATAACCACACTAAACGAGATAAAATGACATTAATATTTACATAGGACCAAATATTTTAAGTAACATTTTCAATTATGTTGGCCAAAATGTAAAATCAACAATATTTTGGACTTATTTAACTTTTTAATACTGATTCTGAGTTCTTTTATACCCTGAACCTATTGGTAAAGGTTTGTCAGACCAAACAGTTCTGGGACAGTTCTACATCTTATATTTTAAGAAGGTTTTCGAGTTTGTTAGGTAACCTTGTACAATGATCTGTTATTATTCATTATACATAATGACTGCAAAAGTGCAAGGCCTGCAAGCCATCAGTTGTGAACATTATTTCAAAAGACCTATATCAGTTGACTAACTATTTAATCAACAAACAAGTTTTAAGTTATCATCCATAAATTGTCTGCCAAAACCACACTAGTAGAATACCATTTTTAAAGTATTAAAAACTTCCATTTGATTTGATTTGCAGTCTACCGTACAAAAATAACATCATCAGTGACACTGACGTGGGGCGTAAATCAAATGGATTTATTGACAGCAGCATGGGGAAGTTTGAAAAGAATTCTCACTTCACTGTCCAGTTTCCATTCTGGTTCAGGCAATGTGAAACAGCTCAAATGTCGGTCCTGCATAGAAACCATTCGCAATCCACTTCTTGACTTGACAAGCTTCTTGTCAGTGGTAGCCATTTTCTCGATTTCTTGATTAACCAGGCGTTTCATGTGAAAAACGCATGCAAACTTTTTGTTTTTGGATAATCGAAACTAAAGCCCTGAACCAACTTCCGGTGTCATGGTGGACAATGACGGATAAATTATTTAAAAAAAAAACAAAACAAATGTCACTTTTATTACTTATATAAGAATAATTATAAGGAAAGTCTATCTAATCGATTAAAATAATGTCACATTGATGTTTGAATTTTCGATTTCAATTGCTAATTAAACTACCTTTGAACATATACACCTTCATCCACATTTTTTTATCTTGTCATAAATTATCGTTGATAATCCCATCTATTGATAATCATAGCATCTCCATGGGCCATTCATATCCTTAGTTTTAATCTTATCAGTATGTCCATGGAAAATATTTGGATATGTTTATTGTTTGTGTTGACAACATTATCTTCATGTTGTTCACAAGGTGATGCTTTTCTTATAATTCTATATCCTTCCTTCCTTCCTACATGTATGCCTAGGCCTATACTAGACTACATATCAACAATTTGTGAAATAACTTACAATTGGCAGTGTCAATAGAATTTCCAAGATTGCACATGTTCAATACAAGACCAGCAATTTTTTGAGGTTACCAAACAAAGTGTGTTATGTTTGAATTTTGAAGAGACTTTCCTCTAGACATAATTGAAGTAATTGGAACTGATGTTTTAAAATGATATTACTTTATCATTCGTCCAAGTGTCAAAGCAATATCTATAATAGTTGAAGGTTAACTTATCTGTTTATGATGTCTTTTCTTGATTCAGAATGGACATGGTTGAATGGTGAAAATGTGGGCAACTCTCCCTCAACGTTTGAAAGTCCTGGATCAAGGAGTGGAAGCACATCGTGGAGAGACACAAATGGTGATGTTTGGTTATTTGGTGGAAGAGGTTTCTCAGATTTAATCAGAAAAAAGGCATTTCTTTTGAATGACTTATGGAGATACAACATTCATACAAATAAATGGACATTGGTTCACCCTGGTTCAGTGTCCACCACTGGAGGAACTGTTGAATTTCGGGATTTGAAATGTCCCTCCCCACGTCAGTTAGCCACTAGCTGTGGAGTGACCAATACAACTCTGATAATATATGGAGGACAAGGAAAAGGTGATAAATCTCTGGGCGATACATGGGTGTATTTTATTCCAAAACAGAGATGGTTGTTATTGGATAAATCACAGATACAAAGTGAAAATGAGACATTAGTAAATACTACTAGTTCAACTGATGCTGAAACTCTAGCACCAGTACCAAGAAGTGATGTGGTTTCTTGGTGTTTGGGTGAAAGAATGGTTATATTTAGTGGTTTAGATCAAAATAATCACATTCTTCATGACATGTGGATATTATCATTAAAAACTTTGAAGTGGAAGGAAATTATTTATATGACTGAAATGGGCAAAAATCAAAGCTTGAATATTTTACCCCGAATTGGAGCAACTAGTTGGGTCTTGAAGAAAAAAATATTATACATGTTTGGAGGAAATACTAAAAATTCCAGTTTTTCTCTACATTCTACCAGTGGATATATTTCTGATTTGTGGAAGTTTAATTTAACAGATTTTAAATGGACCAGGATATATGGAACAAGTCAGCTAGAGACTACAGGTGTTTACAGTACTCAGTTTAACTCCAGTTATAAAACACACCCTGGAAGCCGACAAGGTGCTTTAGGCTGGGTTGACTCTAAAGGCTCTCTGTGGCTTTTTGGTGGTGATGGATTAGACAGACTTCCATCTGGAACATTTAAACAATCAAAGCTTCTTTCAGATGTATGGAGATTTCAAATCCATACTAAAATATGGACATGGATGGCTGGGAGTAGTGATGGAGAGGCTGATGTAGAATATGGCATTAAAGGGGAGGCAACCAGTGAAGCATTAATTGGAGGGAGATGTAGAAGTAATGGATGGACAGGAAGACATAATAAGTTTTATATATTTGCTGGTTTAGGACATGATAAATACAACCAAGATGGCTATTTAAATGATTTGTGGTTGTTGGATGTGAATGGAATTTTAAACTCTGGGAAACCAGTTTGGTATATTGTGTTCTTTGTATTTTGTGTTGTTTCCATTATCTTGATCATAGTGGCCCTATCATTGTTTACTAAAGACAAATATAGTAACAGTTCATTACTGTTTAAAAGCAGATATGATAATGATATCAAATATTCCCACTTACCAACTACAGGAGATTGAGGACATGAGTACTGAAGACTTTGTGCTTTTGCTTTGCTGATTTTAAGCAATTTTTTCTTGTCGTTCGAATGTGTGAATATTAGTCATGTCTCACAGATGCGTGCATATACAGAAGTTTCCTATCCTAGCAATATGATAAGGTTTTTCACTACAAGACTACATTATTGCTGTTGTTGCTTGCCAAACTCTCTTCATAGTCCTGTATTGATGTTTTCCTTGTATTTATTACTAGATAGACTTAATAATTTCACGTATTAATGTTTAACATATCAAACAGACCTTGTGATATTTCTTATTGCCATTCACTTTTAACATTTTTGTTTACATTTGTTCTTAATTTTGTTCTTAAAAATAAATAATAGAATATTTTTTCCATTGTGCTTGATGAACATTTTTAAGAACTTGTTCATTCTTGTTAATTCAAATGTTGACTAGACATCTTATGTGTACAGTTTAAATAGTATATGATTTACTACAAACTTCACCTAATATTTTATATAGTTCAAATATTCTAGGATTAACTACAAACATGACATTTCATAGTTTAGATATTCCATGATTTACTACAAACATCATCATATATACATTAGATATTTCAATGATGTACTTAAGCATCACCTTAAATACTCACTGATTCACCCCTAACATCCTTTATAATTTAGATATATCATGAATAACCACATAAAGATACATCATCTTGTATAGTTTATATATTTAAAGATTTACTACAAACATCATCTTATAAAGTTTAGATATTTCAAGATTTACTACAAACATCATCTGATATAGTTTAGATATTTCAAGATGTACTACACACATCGTCTGATATAGTTTAGATATTTCAAGATTTACTACAAACATCATCTGATATAGTTTAGATATTTCAAGATTTACTACAAACATCATCTGATATAGTTTAGATATTTCAAGATTTACTACAAACATCATCTGATATAGTTTAGATATTTCAAGATTTACTACAAACATCATCTGATATAGTTTAGATATTTCAAGATTTACTACAAACATCATCTTGTAAAGTTTAGATATTTCAAGATTTACTACAAACATCATCTGATATAGTTTAGATATTTCAAGATTTACTACAAACATCATCTTGTAAAGTTTAGATATTTCAAGATTTACTACAGACATCATCTGATATAGTTTACATATTTCAAGATTTACTACAAACATCATCTTGTAAAGTTTAGATATTTCAAGATTTACTACAAACATCATCTTGTAAAGTTAAGATATTTCAAGATTTACTACAAACATCATCTGATATAGTTTACATATTTCAAGATTTACTACAAACATCATCTTGTAAAGTTTAGATATTTCAAGATTTACTACAAACATCATCTGATATAGTTTAGAGATTTCAAGATTTACTACAAACATCATCTTGTAAAGTTTAGATATTTCAAGATTTACTACAAACATCATCTTGTAAAGTTAAGATATTTCAAGATTTACTACAAACATCATCTGATATAGTTTAGATATTTCAAGATTTACTACAAACATCATCTGATATAGTTTAGATATTTCAAGATTTACTACAAACATCATCCTATATAGTTTATATATTTCATGATTTACTAAAAACATCATCTTATATAGTTTAGTACAAACAACATCTTATATAGTTTAGACAAAAAGCATCTTATATAGTTTAGATATTTCAAGATTTACTACAAACATCATCTTATATAGTTTAGTACAAACATCATCTTACATAGTTTAGATATTTCATGATTTACTACAAACATCATCTTATATAGTTTAGTACAAATATCATCTTATATAGTTTGTATATTTTATGAGTTACTACAAACATCATCTTATATAGTTTAGTACAAACATCTTCTTATATAGTTTAGATATTTCAAGATTTACTACAAACATCATCCTATATAGTTTATATATTTCATGATTTACTACAAACATCATCTTATATAGTTTATATATTTTATGATTTACTACAAACATCATCTTATATAGTTTAGTACAAATATCATCTTATATAGTTTATATATTTCATGATATACTACAAACATCATCTTATATAGTTTATATATTTTATGATTTACTACAAACATCATCTTATATAGTTTAGTACAAATATCATCTTATATAGTTTATATATTTCATGATATACTACAAACATCATCTTATATAGTTTATATATTTTATGAGTTACTACAAACATCATCTTATATAGTTTAGTACAAATATCATCTTATATAGTTTATATATTTCATGATTTACTACAAACCTTAATCTATATAGTTTATATATTTCATGATTTACTACAAACCTTAATCTATATAGTTTATATATTTTATGATTTACTACAAACATCATCTTATATAGTTTAGTACAAATATCATCTTATATAGTTTATATATTTTATGATTTACTACAAAAATCATCTTTGTAAGACATATAGAAGCAGGAAGGTCAACATTAAGAACACAAGTTTGATGGATATACTACTTCTAGTTTTATTACACACTACGTTTCGAAACACATACAGGTAACTTGTAAAAATAGATAACTTGTGATCTTAATAGAACAATAACATAAAATCTTTTAAAAAGTTTATTTAGTTCATGATTTACTACAAACATCATGTTATATAGCTAAACTATTTCAAGATCATACAAACATCATCTAAAAATGGATCATAAATGAACATCATGCCATGCTGAGTAATGCAGGGTTTTTTGGGTAAGGTAGGTCATGGAAGCCATGAATATATATATATATATATATATATATATTACATTTGTTTCTTTGAAATTTAAAACATTTGACTGTCTGAATCAGGAACAAAACGAAAGTGACTGTATATGTACAAGTTTCAAGAATACTGTCTATTTTAATACTCTGATAATAGGCTAACCGTGTTAAAATGACATATAAAATAATAGAGTTTGAGTTAGATCTTACAGGCATTAGTAATCCAATAGAGAGATTTCTTTTTCGTCTTTAATTTCAACTTATTTAAATAATGAATAGGGAAGATTGTTTATATCTTATATAATATAACTGTATACACAATATTACTAACATCACTGTGGTCTTTGTTAAAATGATATATTATTATACACGTCACTGTCATAGTAACATTGTATCGTCTGAAGCACACTTCCCACTTCTAGTTTGCCTTCTTATAAGATAAGATAAATAGTGTGTCAAGGTAGAGGAAACCAGGATTTATTTACTAAATTTAGGCCACTATCATTAATATACTATATATATCGTGCTCTAGCCGATTAACTCTTTGCTTATATATGTGTTATTCATTTTGTGGCCATGTACCGTGCCAATAGGATCATATATTCTAAGTTCGTGAATACTTGCAGCTAGTGCCAAGGTTCCTCCATTCATAGAATAACTTTACTAAATATAGCGTGAAGTCGTTATTGATGGACAGAGTTGAACTCTACAAGCATATTGATTCGCTGCTAAACACTGGGTGATATATAAAAGTGTATTAAAATTGACTTGTCACAGCATTATTGGAATTTTCAACAGTGTCTTGAGTAACAAGTTTATTAGTGGGCGGTTCTGCGTTGACTAGGAATCGTACTGGGAATCGTTCATATCTCTGTTGTCATTTATCAATGTAGCAGGATATAATTCTGATGTATTAAACATACCAGAACTAATGGAGAATTTTAAAGTGACGTTTTCTATTAAAAGACAAGACACCGACGAACCAGTGGTGCACAAAGTAGATGGACAGAGATTTGCCAGATGTCATACAGTCAAATTAAATGTGAATACAACCTATACAATAAATATCACAATCCGCCCTGAACTTGTTTTGAGGTAGGTGAATCTCAAACAGAGTATATAATCTTGCATGTAGAAAATATCAGTCATGTGGATCAAAGGTTACATATCAAATGGGCTCGAACACTTTATAAGAATCAAGATGCAGGTGAGTGAGAGATGTAATATCAGAGGTGAAGACAGTGCACTGATTCAGTCGTGCTCTTTTGACACAACTTGTTTAACCTTTGGTCTGAATAATGTCAGTGCTAATTGCCTCAAGTAATTGAATATCTGGTGTCATTTTAATACGATCTGCACTTAAACTTCGACCCAATTGTCACGTTATATTGCACATTTTAACCTTTGAAATAGGATCAAAATTCAAATGTAATATGATTTGAAATACACACAATGCAATATTGTATAATTTTTAAATGCTATTTCACATTGCTTCCATTGTTATATTTGGACTAAGATGATAATAAGTCATATCTATTTTGAAATTTAGTTTAATTGTTGTCCTCAGGCACGGAGATTTAATCTTACTCGTGGTTTACTTTCAATGAAATAACTTAAATTTCCACATGTAAAAATTATATCTATGTATGTTTTTATATGTATAAACAATTTATACGCCTCACTGACCCTGAATATGTAGAACTATAATATAAAACATATGATTAAGTACATATACATTATTTAATCAAAGTATGATTCTTTTAAGGGAGATTCGCCTTACGCTTGGCCATTCGTACCCCAGTCTCAGAAACGGAATTTTCTTAGCTAAGTTAGTCAGTGAAAGTGTTTTCGGCTAACCATGAGAAATTTTAGCCTTCAAATCCATGTGTGTCCAGAATTATCTGCGTTTGACGACTCGTCTTTTTTAATATAGAAAAGACATATATAGAAAAGGGAAGTTGAATTTCTAGTTTGAAGTATATTTGAAGTGATTATATACGATTTTTGTGTAGTTCTAGTACTTCTGAGCATTAATTCAATATATGCAAGCCCCAAATATGTTCCCGTAAATGGTTAACCATGGCCTTTAAGTGACTGAAAATACACACAAAACCTCTTTTGAACCCGTTAGGTCCAAATGATTGGTTATCAGTCTCTAATTTCTTTAATATGCTAACATAGCAGATAACTTATAAGCCGGTATTTATTATAGTTTAACCTTTGCCCTCTATCATGTAATTTGAATATAATCAGAATTCTATTGAACTTCTTATTCAAATGTCAGATCGATAATTCATATACCAAATATTGTTGATAGGAATAGAAATACTTTCAAAGAATCGTGAAATGTCTTTTATGTGGCAAAACGATAATTTGTTTTTAATAACGTTCAATTATTAGTAGAACGTTTAACATCTGTATGAGATATAAACAACTAGCATCTGTATGAGATATCAACATCTAACATCTGTATGAGATATAAACATCTAACATCTGTATGAGATATAAACATCTAGCATCTGTATGAGATATCAACATCTAACATCTGTATGAGATATCAACATGTAACATCTGTATGAGATATCAACATCCAACTCCTATATGAGATATCAACATCTAACATCTGTATGAGACATAAACATCTAGCATCTGTATGAGATATCAACATCTAACATCTGTATGAGATATAAACATCTAGCATCTGTATGAGATATCAACATCTAACATATGTATGAGATATAAACATCTAGCATCTGTATGATATATCAACATCTAACATCTGTATGATATATCAACATTTAACATCTGTATGAGATATCAACATCTAACTTCTGTATGAGATATCAACATCTAACATCTGTATGAGATATCAACATCTAACATCTGTATGAGATATAAACATCTAACATCTGTATGATATATCAACATCTAACATCTGTATGAGATATCAACATCCAACTCCTATATGAGATATCAACATCTAACATCTGTATGAGATATCAACATCTTACTCCTATATGAGATATCAACATTTAACATCTAAATGTTTACTGAAATTGTCAAATATGGTGATTGGCGATGCATTAAAAATATTGAACATTGGATGAAATCCCACATTAATGTCTCTTATGTAATATATATAATCTCGCAACACCAGACCTGTTGATATTGTAACTCAATTTAATTTCATTTAAAAGTCACGCCATATACCAGGTTGTTTTAATATTATATATATTAAAAGACAATCGATAAAGCTATTCTGTTTAATTATTCTATTCTATATATTATATTTATACGTCTATATCATTATCTTTCCATGACTGATTTATGCTGTCTTCGTTGTGCCCTTCTTTGATTTGGCAGGGATGTTTTACTGATTTTCTATTTAGTATTTCGACTGATGGATCGAGTATACTTCATAAATAACGTGTATATATCATTTTGACCTCAGAATAGACAAACATGCACGATAATTATTTGCATTTTAGGCAATAAAGGAATTTTCAAAATTTAAGATTGAAACAACTATGTATGTCTTAAACGTTTCACACTGAGCAAACAGTAAAGTAAATAATCTCCGAGTAAACCAACATCCTTATCTACATCTTTATACAATATGTTCTTTTTCATTGAATTAAAATTATGACCTTCCTTTTAAAATAAATTCTGTGTTTATTTTCGAGTTAATCTTCCGTGTGGTGGTGTATTTATGTTTTAATTAAAATTGTTTAAGATATTGTGTAAGGCTGTAGAATACTGAAACAGTATCATATGTATTTTAACTTTTCATGGTATAAAAGATGTTTCATGTCCTTCAGATCTTTATCCAAGGGCACTTACTTGATTTATATGTAACCTACTCGTTACCGTATCCCAATGCACATAATAAGTATATACATAGTGAGCACATCCTGTTCAGAATTTTCTCTAAATAAAATAAAAATAGGGTCTCAGTGACCCACTCGTCTACAATGTTTTATTTTGAATTTGTGGAGAAATATGTCAGGATAATGGTATGCCAGAACTATTTTAGAACATATCTATGTGGTTTATAAATTGTTATAACCTAACCTGGCGTCTTAACGAATGTCGCGTAATAAATTATTAAGAAAGAAAACCAGTAAAAGAATTGTAAAGGAACCATTGATTTCTCTAGTCTGACACCACAGGAATCAATACAAACTTCATTTCTAAATTTCTACTCCAGTTAATGAAAATCAATAAGGTTTTCATGACAGTAAATAATAGTTTTTAGTGGAAAATAACCTGGAATTATGAACCTGTATGCCGTGAGATTTTCTTTCAATTATACTAAATCATTGCTTATAGCCTGATTTCCTTCCTATATTGGTTGATTATTTTGAGGCAGGGTATATCAATTACAAAACAAGCAAATCCAAAATATGAAAACAGAAAGCATTATGTGCTTGCTCTTTAAGAGGAAGATTTCGGTATTGACACAAATAGAATATAAATAGTATGGACTCGTGACCGATCTAAAAACCTATTAATTATGATCAGATCAATTAGTCTTAACTTGTCCCTGATAGACATTATAATATTGATGGTGACAAGTGAAGAGTTAGAACTTGATGTCTGGGGATTTAAGATATAAATTTTCATTACGAGTTATATACGACATAATCTGAAGACATGCTTAAACAGCTTATAGCATTCTTCCTTATTAACTTTTAGGGGACGTATATACGGATGAACCCCAAAGCTATCTGTCGCAGGAAAATATTTCTCATCATTCATTCAGCTTCACCATGCAAAATGATTGACACTGCCTCATAACACCCGATACTACTCTACGACTTGGTTCATCAATTCACCACCATTTTTGTTTTGAGGCTTCAAGTAACTAATAATACTGTGACTGTGGTCAGATTATTATGAAACGTAAAAGGAATGTTCATTGTCAATATAGTACTGCTGAGTTGATCATTTGATACAATATATTTATTATAGTGACAGGTTGTTATCTTTTCTCCTTTTTACCCCATTAGTTTTATATAATAACCAGTTGAAAAATCGATAACACCAATAGTCTGCATAATTTCATTAAATTCACATCTATAATGATTTCTATCATTAATCATTGTTTTAAAGGGACTGTAAAGAGGTTTCCTAAAAAATTTATGTTTATTGGGAACACTGAAACTATCAATTTGAACAATTTCTAGTTTCAATCAGATGTCTGTGGTTCCTGCAATTTCACTAAACGTAAGTGTTTCTTAGTGTCACTTCGCGATTAATGACGTCATCAAATACTTAGTTTTAGTGGCATTGCATGAACCACAGAATGATGTCTGAATGAAAGTAGAATGGAGCAAATTGATGCTATCAGTGTCCTCGATACAGATACAAAATTTGGAAAACCTCTTTATAATCCATTTAAATAGTTATATTGCTGATCTATAGCAAACTTACAATTTATTTTCTAACAAAAGAATATAGACTACCAAAAATATAGCACAATAAATAAATCAGTTTTCTGAACTCTCTATGTGGAATGTTTGGTTGACAAACCTAGTTGTGCAAAAAGAAAAAAATCTTTTAGTTTCATGAAAATCACAAAATATTCTAAAAAGGTCAAAGTTTGTGAATCGCTAAAATAGCTCATCTCAATGTCTTTGATAAAACATTTCTATGGGTGATCATTAGATGAATCATTTTGTTCTTTCAGAGGTTTACATATCCAAGGTGAAAAACTAGAATTCACAAGAATCAAACCAGATAAAATAGAAGACGATGGTAGTCGGTTCCAAGCTGCTTGGACTTCCACTGGTTGTACTATTAATAAAAGTGGCGATAGAAAAGATATTGTTGTTCTGTTAGAGGTAAATATAAGAAAATTTTAGGATTTTTCCCCAGAGATATTGAATAAAGCCCTTTGAAACATATCACTAGATAGTTAGAACATTGCAATATGGTAATACATCTCATCGAAATCAATCTTATAAAAAGTAGTAACTATTTTCCCCAAAAGTTTTCTAACACGGTCCCGTTCAAATGATGTAAGTTTGAACCAAAACTTATTCTTTCAGTTAACTCATACGAAAAGAAAAACATTCGTGTTGAGTTTCAGTTACCCTGTGCTCTTTCTTTCTAGAAGGAATTGACCCTATGTCTGGACAATCATCGTTCATGGGATAGGCATTTACGAGGAGACTCCCCCCAGCCTAAAGGGTATACGAGTAGTATAAAATCATTCTCTTTTGTTAATGACCATCATCGCTGATAAAGATTCTGTGTTTGTTAAATATATTAAAATTTTTAAAATTGATTTACATCTCACTGTATCCTTGAATTAATAAATTAATCGTTGAAAATTGATATGAGATATTCTACACAAAATCCTGACAAATTACACCAATATTCTGGTTGTAATGGTACAATAACTGAACATGATTGACATCTTGTTGTTAGATTTATATGTAAATAGAAGGAAATGATCAATAATTTAAAGAGAATGACATATAAACTGATGAAATCGTGTGATGAGAGTTCTGAGAATAACCATTTCCTTGAGGATATAGATTTAGTAATAGAGACATGAAACTAATCTATCTGTTATGTCTGAAAATGATCAATAAATCCTACCTATGATGTAAACATTTACGTTTGATGAACTTGGAATGATTCAGCTTGATGTACAATACTAAAAACGTCCAAGGGGTAAAGTACCTAATTCTGGTTACACCCTAAAACGACCATTGCTTTTCCCGTCTTTTTTCCATTGCTCAAAGACATACTGCCCGTCTACTCTACGCCTGAAAGAAAAGAGAGCCTCATAACAATGCTATAACTGACAGAAAACAGTGAAGTGACAGCAACATGAAAAGCTTCATCAGTTGCGACATGACAAAGTCCTCCTATTCCCAAACATGCGTCTGCTATGTCTGAAGTCGATAAAGATACCCAATATGTGTTCATTATCTCTGCTCTTTGTATCACACTACAGTCTATATTTCAAGTTAGATTCACAAACTGACTCAAGTCCATGACATAAACGAAAAGCTATTTACTACATGAAAATGTCATTGTAGCCATGACATCGGGCCGTTGTGGCAAGTTTCATGAGAGCAGCATTTGATATTTTATTGGGTTAGCAGTGTGACCGAAGAAGGCCATGATAGATGGTTAATGAAATTAAATGAAAAAAGGGTAGATTATGAATACAGGTTATGATAGCAGTACAGGTTTTGATAGCGTAGGTTTTGACAGCATCAGGGTTTGTCAGTTAGAGGTAATGACAGAAGCAGGTTATAACGGCGGAAGGTTATGTCAGCAGTAGGTTTTGACCAAAGCAGGTTATGACAGAAGAAAATTATGACAGAAACTATGCAAGTTATGTTATGCAAGCCGTGGCAACAGTAGGTGGTGACATCAGTAGGTTATAACAGCGGCAGGTTATGACGGCAACAGGTAATAACAGCAGTAGGTTATGACAGTAGCGGGATATGACGGAGGCAGGTTATGACAGTAGTAGGTTATGATAGCAGTATGTTTTAGCAGTTGTAGTAGGTTATTACAGCATCAGGTTTGACAGTATCAGGTTATGATAGCGACAGGTGATGAAAATGGCAGATTATGACAGGGGCAGAAAATGACAGTAGTAGGTATTGACAGCGGCAGATTATGACATCAGTGGGTTATGTCAGCGGCAGGTTATGGTAGCGGTAGGTTATGCCAGTTGCGGTTTTTTGAAGCAGTAGGTTCACGATGAGCTAATACGAACTTCGTCTTATGCAGCCAATCAGAACTCTCCACAGGAGGACTGTAAACATTGTTTAGTAATGACTTGACATACAGTAGGTTAGGCAAGCCATGACATCAGTGAGTAATGTCATCAGTAGGTTATGATATCGGCAGGTTATGATAGCAGTAGACTATGAGAAAATTCCAATACGACGTAGTTACAACGTGTCCCAATGTCTCCCTGAATATCGATTTTATCAATCTTTACCCATGAATAGAAAATCTAATGACTCAGAATCGTATTGCTAATTTGGTAAATTGTGTTTCAATGTTGTTCCTTAATTCAAACAACAGTGTCTCAACTACCACATGCAGTGGTTGAACCAAGTCTACCGGCTCTCAACCCTAAGGGCGCCTCCAGAAAAAATGCAGGAGAGCATAATTTATGTTAAAGAAAACCCACTTAGTCCACGGGTACCCACACATCTAGTTGATCCACTGTTTCAATCGTATTCTATAAATTAATATCACAAGATCCAAACCAACAGGGACGAAAATAAAGCTAACCAACCAGCAGCCGCAATCGAAGAAGAATCCTCCAAACTTGGTTAATGTGAACTATAATTTTATATTTCAGTTTGATAATTTGATCACCATGACGACATCAATTCAAGTGAAGTTTTATGAAGATAAGGAAAGCAACCACGCGAAATGGGGAAATCCCTTGCATACTATAGAATATGATTGTGGTGTTAAAGAAGGACAGACGTTTGTTGATATTATTAAAGAGAAATACTTCTGATATTCACCCAACGGTTCATACTCATCATAAGATGTTCAATAATTTAGTGCACGTCACCTTTAACTAAGTTTTTTCTTTTATGGAGGTTGATTCTTGCCTAAAGTCAAATTATCTTATGGTATTAAGGTCGCATATCTCTTGCCTTTTATACAATAATATTTCGCATGTGAAATCTTTGATGAAATCATTATAACAGACTATCAATAAAAGTGCATAATATGATTTTATATAGGAAGTATATCAAAATAATAGTTTGGTAGTTTAACTTTTGTTCATGTAAAAATGGCTTATTCTTTGAGCATTGGTCCGTTTTTCAGAAAAAGATTGTAGAAAGATTTATTGCATATATATATGAATGCTTGAATCCATATAGCTTTTTATATATCAGAAGCACTATGTAAGTTCATGGGAATGCATTTTATATCTATGCACGACGATTTATGTGGGAACTTTGTTATAAGTTTTTGATTTTAATGACTGAGGAAAATTTATCCATATAATAATATTAATATTATTATAGGTTTTGGCTATTGTGGCTATGAAATATGTAACCCATCAATTTAGCGCCGATGTCTGGTGATCAACTGCCTGTGTGTATAGTATTCTTCAATATAGTGTTGCCACTCTAAAGTGATTTTATGATAATCAAGAACAACAATGGTTGTGCGAGACATTCTTTAATATATGAAAGAAAATCTGTCTTAAAAGACAACATTGTGCTGTGAAATAAAAGGCAAATATTAACCTGAATCAGCCTTGTCCATTCTTAAGGGATGTGTCATTGTTTTCTAATTATGAATAGTTTTATAGTATTTTGTTCATTTCCTTTTTGTGTTGCTCAACGTCTTGTACTCTTTATCATCTGGACACAAGCCTTCTGAACAATATATTTCAGTTGTTAAATGATTATATAGAATACATAGAATAATAAACTATTCCGTGTTATGACTTTACTTTTATACCCATCTCCACACCAGATCAAACATCTCTTCTTCGCTTTTCCTTTAAACTTACAAATTATTCCTTTCCCGAATTGCAAGATTGAGATTAAATTATTGATTCGGGTTTTCTGGTAGTCTGATTTCTCCAAAGGAATAAGATATTCTGTCCTCTGAGTTGAGATATCCTGTTCTGTTAGTTGAGATATTCTGTCCTATGAGTTGAGATATTCTGTCCTGTGAGTTGAGATATTCTGTCCTGTTAGTTGAGATATTCTGTCCTGTGTGTTGAGATATTCTGTCCTGTGAGTTAAGGTATTCTGTTCTGTTAGTTAAGATATTCTGTCCTGTGAGTTGAGGTATTCTGTTCTGTTAGTTGATATATTCTGTCCTGTGAGTTGAGATATTCTGTCCTGTGAGTTGAGATATTCTGTCCTGTGAGTTGAGATATTCTGTCCTGTGAGTTGAGATATTCTGTCCTGTGTGTTGAGATATTCTGTCCTGTGAGTTAAGGTATTCTGTTCTGTTAGTTAAGATATTCTGTCCTGTGAGTTGAGGTATTCTGTTCTGTTAGTTGATATATTCTGTCCTGTGAGTTGAGATATTCTGTCCTGTGAGTTGAGATATTCTGTCCTGTGAGTTAAGGTATTCTGTTCTGTTAGTTGAGATATTTTGTCCTGTGAGTTGTAGTAGGCCTATTCTGTTCTGTTAGTAGATATATTCTGTCCTATGAGTTGAGATTTTCTGTCCTGTGAGTAGATAATCTCGGAGTGAAGATTCTGTAATGCCAATTCGAAGTGTTCTGATTTTTCATTTGAATTACTATCTCTGGGGACTAAGATGTGATGTAACAGATTCTAATTTTCACATACACATATCTTACATTCGCTACCAAGTATATTATGGTCACCCAAATCTGTGGTACTACTAATTATAGATATTAAATTACATGTATAATGTCCTAAATTTACACAAGATTAGGTCATACCACATATTATATGCTGACCTATTTACGAACTTGAATTGTTGATAAGACAAAGATATGTCTAAGTCTGTAGATGAAATAATTAGACTTTATAAGCAATATGGTGATACAAACTATCTTGGTGAAGCTGTAACTAAAACACAACATAGTATACAATGCGCTCAAATAGCGGAGGCAGAGGGCAGTGATATTCAGGTGGGTTTTCTGACGTTTAAATAAGATGTTTTAATCAATGAATGCTGGGGAAATTTCCAACATCATAATTGGAAAAAAATAAACGCCTGCTGTTACTTTAGTAAGGTTTGTATTTCCGGTATCGTGATATTTTATAATGCTGATTGAGCTTATAATCATTGTAACGTCAATGAACTCATGTTGTCTTGTAATGTTTACGGAGTTCATGATATCTTATAATGTTCACGGAGTTCATGATATCTTATAATGTTCACAGAGTTCATGATATCTTATAATGTTCACGGAGTTCATGATATCTTATAATGTTCACAGAATTCATGATGTCTTATAATGTTCACGGAGTTCATGTTACCTTATACAGTGGTGTACCCTATTTTCGTGGATATAAGGATTCAACTCTGAGATGTTTCCTGAGATATTTTACAAAATAATTAAAATTGGTTTATTTCGATTTTCTTTATGAATCCTTCACTTTGGCCCATATTTCATGAGCAACCAACTCAGCAATGGCGGCAGAATGTGTCACTCATTTTCGTGCACAATGTTTGATCTATAAAAAGTCTAGAAAAACACGTTGTATGGATACCGGGTGGTATAATTAACTTCTCTTAGTATTTATCTTTAATATCAATTCATTATAACTAGTGTCAATTCCTTCAAAGAACCACGATTTAAAAAAAAAATAGTGACTGACAAAATAAGACACGTAGCGTGATTTATTGCTAAAAGTCACTGAAACAACATAAGAATACGGTCAACTTTGTGTTCTATAGAAATTTTCTGCTGACACGGAATCCGCTAGTTGATCACGTGACTTCATTCGTTGGAATATAATCTAGCAAGACGACACTTGGAACTCCGATTACCGCTTAGGATTATAAGGAATTTCGGCCGATAAAAAATGGTATCGTTTGGTAATAAGTGAAATCTGCCATTTTGTATTTATCAAAGTATACATTTTACCATGCTTGAAACTACTGGATTCATTCTACTAGCTGATATTGTAGATAAAACCCATGTTTATCAAAACAAGCTAATGCGGAGATCGCGCAAGGTCGCTCATGTAATTATTAATCCTTTCCGGAAATCCACGAATAATAGGTTTCCACGAAATTAGGTTACTTGACTGTACATGTAATGCCAATAAGATCGTGATATCTTTTAATACACGGTGCAGAAAAGTAGGACGTAAAACTCTATTCATTTCATTTTAATGTACATGGAATCTCATAATGTTCATGGAGTTCATGATATCTTATAATGCCCATGAGTTTTAATCTAATATTGCTCATGGAATTATGAAATCTTATACTGCTCACGGAGTTCATGAGGTCGGTGGGTTCATGATATCTTATAATACTCATTAAGTTCATGATATCTTATAATACTCATAGAGTCTATGCGTTGAGTTCATGATATCCTCAGAGGTCTTAACTGTTCTGAAACCTCTTAACTTTCATGCTGCAAACTCTTTTAACCTGCAACTAAATAGCATTGGACTTCGTTGAAGGGGTTTCTTTTGAGTGAACTCACAGGTAGGTAAGCAAGAGGTTGAGTGTTGATTGAAATTGGTTGCAGAGAAATGATATTGCCTGTGTAAACCCACCTTTATAATTATTATTGAGTTCTATTTTTAAAATTATACCTGCAGGTAATAATAGGAGCTTTGCTTCATGATATTGGACATTTAATTGGTTTAGATGAACAAACAGCTTCTATGGTTACCGAGGGTGAAGATTTGGGTGCTAAAGACCATGATATACTTGGTAGTGACTATTTAAAACAGATAGGTTTCCCCAGTAAGATCTGTGAAATTGTTAAAGGACATGTTCAAGCTAAAAGATATCTTGTATTCAAATATCCAGAATACTACTCTAGTAAGATATTTTTGAATGAATTTCTTCTTTTTACATGAAAACATGGCATATAATTTATTTTAATATGGGACAAGGTCAAAACTAAGACATCCAGAGGATCCATACATGTACTGTCATAGAATATATTAATATTCAGCTTAATTAAGTTAATGACAACCTAACTTTTCGTTTTAATAAAAGAGTGCTCAAGTTGGAAAGTTTAAAAAAAAAAATTTCATAAACCAGATTGTAATTTTCTTGTGATGACTTGCTGAAGTCCAAAATAGCCAATAATTATTACCCTCACGATGGAATTTGTAAAGTTAAAATCAAATGTCTTTCAGGATTAAGTGATGCCAGTAAGATGACATTAGAGCATCAGGGAGGAAATATGAGTGAAAATGAAGCCAGTCAATTTGAGAACTCGCCATTATTTGAAACAATCATATCTATGAGAAGATGGGATGAACAGGCTAAAAATCCTGAAATACCAGATAATGATATAGAGAACTATAGAAACTATTTGCAACAAGTAATAAATATGTAAATTTATACAATAATGTAGTACTAACTTTAATTGTAGGCCTAATTGTAAAGTTTAATCAACAATGTATTGAACCTTAAATTTGTGGCAAATGTGCTACGAATTTCGAAGTGACTTATTGCAGTAACTAGGATGTGTAATTGATTATTACCGACTTCATCACCTGATAAAACAATAAAGGCACTACAGTACAGTGGTGTTTCTATGGAACATGGACACTCAGAATAGATTTTTTTTCAGAAACGCCACTGCTTGAGTATTTACATCATTCCTGGATAAATATTTGATGTTGAGGATAAGGTTTACATTTTTTATTCAATAGCAAACAATAGTAATCAATAATTTATTTCTCATTCATATCTAAACTAAACAACAAAAATCTCTATGATAATCACCTACACGGTATAAATACACAACAGCATATTTTCATTCAGATTTTCAGTAAGAGAGGAAAGGTTTAGTTGGATAGCGATTCAAACCTACCCATTTTCTATCTGCAAGATATCTTTTAATTTTTGTGGTTGAGACAAGAACTGTTGTAATTGAAGTTTAATGAGCCCACCTTTCAGTTATATCATATGCTATTCAGTAATTGGGTTTGTGAATTTGTCCTCTCAGACACTGTCGCTATAAATGTAGTTGTGGTATATTTTCTATGAACTCATGATTTTCTTAATCATAATTTGAGTAAGTATTGTCCATAGGTAGGTATAATTTCATTTTTACACAGCGTAAAACTAAGCAGATTTAATTGGAAGATGCTTGAATTATGTTTCTTAAGTAATAAACACTAAGATAAAACAATATCCACCTTCATTATGTTCATTATAATAGAGGCATTAGAAAATGTGATTTTTAATCAAATGAACCTAATCCAAACAAAAAATTTAATAAACCATGCATAGAGTTTTCAAAACAAACTAATTAAAATATAACAAATATACAAATCAATTTAATTTAGAAAATATTACATTTTCTTCATCAGATAATAATACAACAATTTATATTTAGTTACACAAGATTGAGTTATGAAATATTTCTTTAACATAATGTTCAGCTTTGCTTTAAATAACGGAACATAATATTATGATATATTTCTCCTGAGTTTTATTGTACGCAGCGTTTCAACAATTTATATTGACATCATCAGGTGAAAACTAAGGAAGAGTATCATCATCATATCAAAAACTGTTGATCGAAGATCGCCAAATTAGAACTTGTCCAAGATCTCATCAATATAAATGATCACACCAAGTTTCATTTAAATCGATTGAAAACTGTAGTCTCTACTGTGTTCACAAACAAAAATTGACACGTTTTTCTTAAGTCAAGGGCAATAACTCCAAAACAATTCATCGAAAGATCGTCAAATTCGATCTTGTCCAAACTTACATCAATATATAAATATAATCACACCAAATTTCATTAAAATCAGACAAAAACTCTAGTCTCTATTGTGTTCGATGGACTGACTGGACGGTCAGGGGCAACGACAATATATGACCAAATTATAATGTATAAAAAAATTCATTAAATGAGAAGGTTGTCTTGTCATTTTGTGTAGTCAGACAAAGGTTACAACAAAATACATCCATGTTACATGGTGGACATCTTAAACTGCTCTATTAACTAATGAAGTCAAGGTCAACCCATGTTACCCAATATCACATAACAATTTCATGCTTACAGATAAACACAATGTTTTAACATATTTGTTGTCTCATTCATATCTTTTCTTCAGGTTCTTGGCTTGCATCTTTTGATCCCAAGTCTAGCTCTTCACTTTTAGCTGTAGTATCTAACACATCACTGGTTTCTGTGACAATAGTTTCATTGCTTGAATCAGTCTTAGGTACAAAAAATATACAACAATTATTCAAATTATCCTTTTACTTTTTCATTCAGAATCAATATCAATGGTTATTTTTTTCAAAAGATATGCCCACTGGCAGCTTTGATTTTAAATAGAAATATTTGGCAGTAAATTAACAATCACCAGTAGGAAATATTCAACCTTCAGTCATACACTTGTTTTGAACATTTACTGAAAAATGTAACTAAGTGTTTACAAGCTAAATATTGAATGCAAGAATGAGGTCAATAACTCATATGAAATATTTCAATGTTCATAGTGCGATAATAAACAATTTCACCAACTTTCGTCAAAATCTGTCGAGAAGTGTGCCTTCCAGAGTGTTTACGAGCAATTTTGAGTGTACTGACCAACAGACATGGGTGGCGCCAATAAACGCTCCACATTTCATGGGAATATACAAAAGAAAACTAACATCCCTATCTCACGGCCAGTTAGTTCCCACTTTGATGGCAGATGATATGCATTATTCAGATTATTACTGATTAGCAGTCACCCATTAGTAGAGACAGGAGATTACTAATTAGCTGATATGAACAATTAGTGATATGAATTTTGTCTCAAAATGAATATGAATATGAAGAAATTTATTTCTAAGTGAACACTATGTGTGAAACATGTATATAAATACTATTCCATTACTACTTCCTTGTATTCATGAAAATAAAGAATTGTATGAAAGAAATGTAGTTTTATAGTTAATACACATGCCATACACCCCTTTTGTCATACTTAAATTCAATCTTTTGTTCAGTCATACTTGAATTCAATTATGGGATTATTAGGATATCAAATGTCAATGCTCAGAAGTTACGACATAGAAATTTGTGTCTTTAAATATCAAGATCTAAGGAACCAAACTACTATCATTGATTATTTTTGTGATAAAATGAACAATGATAAACAATCAGGATTTTTCATGACATATACATGTGCTATACTATACATGTGCTGCATATTTCATACTTGATAGGTGTACAAACAGGAAAGAATATAAGTCTAGTTAAGCCATAGCATGTTTTAACTATCTGGAAAAATTGAGAAACTGTGTGTATAAACTGGGCTCCACTGTAATCATATTTTAAGAAAATAAAAATCTTTACTTTACCTTCCATGGAATAGGTTGATTGTAAAATCTTAACCTTGTTTCAAAATCTGAAAGTGTTCGTTGATCAATATCTGATATCTGAAATCCATCTTCTAGTAATTTATCATATCTTTCTCTGATGTTATTTGATTGTCGAATATACCTTTCAACTAAAAAAAATCAAGATAGCTGATAGGTAATATACGGCCACAGCAGTAATACACTTCTTTTGAACTTTTTGGGGTGATAATGAACAATATTACCAATTTTGTTAAAATCTAGCAAGAATTGTGTCTTTTAGAGTGTTTACGAGCTACAGATTAACTGTGTTATAAACAAACAAGAGCAATAAACTTTGGATTATTGGATTTTTAATAGGGTTCACCACGTGTGATAATAAACAATTTCATTTTCATGTTTCATCAAAGTCTGTCAAGAATTGTTCCCTCTAGAGTGCTTACTTATCATAATTCTGCTTTTCTGGGCTTAGAATGATTTAAAAAAACAATTTCTAAAAGAAATTTATAAAAAAATAAAATAAAAAAGCAAATTTAGCGAAATGGATGAATATTAAGAATTTTTTGTAAAATAATATTTTGTTTTGCTCTGAAGTTTGTGTAAAATAGATTTTTTTGCTGAAAAATCGCTTTCAACTACTGTGCAAACACACCACCTAGGCCAGTGCTTTCATTGAGACTCGTCTCAATACACCCTAACACACCATGAGTACTATTACTACTGTAGCAGACAAAGCCATATTGATAACTCATGTGTCCTACTTCACTAGCGTGCCACCTAGTGTCTGACTCAAAGGTGCTGATATCTCTTTAATGCAAATGACAATGTTTTCAACCAAATTATACAAATAGAATTTACCTAAATATCTCAATCTTTCTGTGTGAAATTTTAGTAAAAAATCCCGTCTGTCAGGAAAATCTTCTCGTAATATCTTTTCTGAGTTGTCTAATTGATTTCCTTTCTACAATAGAAAGATACATTGATGATAGTGAGATATAAAGTTGACTTCCTGGACAAAAAGGACACATTGACTGGTTAGCAGTATGATATGAACAATATATTGACTGGTTAGCAGTATGATATGAACAATATATTGACTGGTTAGCAGTATGATATGAACAACATATTGACTGGTTAGCACTATGATATGAACAACATATTGACTGGTTTGCAGTATGATATGAACAACATATTGACTGGTTAGCATTATGGTATGAATAACATATTGACTGGTTAGCAGTATAGTATGAATAACATATTGACTGGTAAGCAGTATGATATGAACAACATGTTGACTGGTAAGCAGTATGGTATGAACAGCATATTGACTGATTAGCAGTATGGTATAAACAGCATATTGACTGATTAGCAGTATGGTATGAACAGCATATTGACCGGTTAGCAGTATGGTATGAATAGTATATTGACTAATTAGCAGTATGGTATGAACAACATATTGACTGGTTAGCAGTATGATATGAACAACATGTTGACTGGTAAGCAGTATGGTATGAACAGCATATTGACTGATTAGCAGTATGGTATGAACAGCATATTGACTGATTAGCAGTATGGTATGAACAGCATATTGACCGGTTAGCAGTATGGTATGAATAGTATATTGACTAATTAGCAGTATGGTATGAACAACATATTGACTGGTTAGCAGTATGATATGAACAATATATTGACTGGTTAGCATTATGGTATGAATAACATATTGACTGGTTAGCAGTATGATATGAACAATATATTAACTGGTTAGCAGTATGGTATGAATAACATATTGACTGGTTAGCAGTATGGTATGAACAGCATATTGACTGGTTAGCAGTATGATATGAACAACACATTGACTGGTAAGCAGTATGGTATGAACAGCATATTGACTGGTTAGCAGTATGGTATGAACAACATATTGACTGGTTAGCATTATGGTATCAATAACATATTGACTGGTAAGAAGTATGGTATGAACAGCATATTGACTGGTTAGCAGTATGGTAAGAACAACATATTGACTGGTAAGTAGTATGATATGAACAATATATTGACTGGTTAGCAGTATGATATGAACAATATATTGACTGGTAAGCAGTATGATATGAACAATATATTGACTGGTTAGCAGTATGGTATGAACAGCATATTGACTGGTTAGCAGTATGATATGAACAGTATATTGACTGGTTAGCAGTATGATATGAACAATATATTGACTGGTAAGCAGTATGATATGAACAATATATTGACTGGTTAGCAGTATGGTATGAACAATATATTGACTGGTTAGCAGTATGGTATGAACAATATATTGACTGGTTAGCAGTATGGTATGAACAGCATATTGACTGGTTAGCAGTATGATATGAACAGTATATTGACTGGTTAGCAGTATGGTATGAACAGCATATTGACTGGTTAGCAGTATGATATGAGTAACATATTAACTGGTTAGCATTATGGTATGACTAACATATTAACTGGTTAGCAGTATGGTATGAGCAACATATCAACATTTTTTTTCATCATTTTTTGTATTTACATCTAAACTTGTGTGAGAATGTATGATTAGATTATTTGATTCAAAATCACATCTTGTACAAGATTTTTTATGATGAAATGTAAAGCTACAGGGTAACTACAAAACTTTAATAATAAACTTTTAACAAAATAAAGGGTCATTTTGTGGGTAATTTCTATTAACTATTCTACTTAACATTAGGATAAGATTGAATTATTTTATGGTAAAATGAATGAAATGAATTAACAATGCTATTAATTGTTTATGAATGTTTATATACGTCTCTATCATTACGGGGTTGAATGTTGATGTTAGATAATCGCAACTACAATTTAAATCATTTTGATGCTGTTGTCAGGGTTCATACAGCCAAGTCAAAAATAAATTCAAAACTATAGACCTCAAAATTCAAGGACTTTTCAAGGGTAGATTGAAAACAGAAGCTGGGTTTTCACCTTCAATAATATACTGGCCTCAGAAAAGTAATTACTAAGACTGGAAGTAAGAGTATGTCAATGTGCTTTTGGAAATATTCCAACTAAAGAGCCACCTTAAAGTGGTATTGTCACATCAACTACTTTTGATGATAAAGGGGCAACTTGATCTTCATGATCCCTTTTGTGTTACTCCTGTATGATTTCAAAGCACTGACTACCATTTTAGCCAGGTCTTGTTACAGCTGAACAGTGCACTTAGGCTTTGAAAAGAGATTGCTCGCAGGACACATGGGCTTGCTTTTTAATCATAAAAACGAAAGATGTGTATAGCACATGTGTAGAGACCTGACCTTCGGCATCCTGTGATTTGATTGGTTGGGGTAAAAGGTTGTTTACAAATTTATCCAATCATTTGAAAGAAAGCTTTTTAACCTTATTTGATATGCAAAATGACTCGAAAATCCAGACATTTTTAAAAGCGTTTGGTTCTACTCTAAAATTTTGGGGGAAAAAAAGTATTGAATTAAATTGACAGAAGTATGTCATTCTGTAAATTTCATGAGAGGATCTATTATCAGCAAAATATAAGAAAAGCATTAAATAAATTCAAAAAGAAAATTGCAGGTCCATATTAAGCCAAGGAAGAAAATACTTACTCTTAAATAAAGATTTAACATTCGAAAAATTCCATAATCTGATTCTGTCAAAAAATGTGGACGTTTCTAAAAATATACATAAGAAGATAGCTTGCCAGCCATGATTACACACTTCATTATAAGAAGTAAAGAAATTGTAGAATTGGGAACTTATCAATTAAAACATTTAAGTTGCCTGGAAAATGATTGTTAATTGTAGGCAATAAATTATGACTAAATCATGGCCAATATAGGTCACAACACTGTTCAAGATTTGAAATTAAATTTAAAATATTTTGATAAAGAGAGAACTTTGCTTTTGGTGAAACTTCTCATTGAAATAAAAACTTACAGATAATATTTCTTTAGCTTTTTCTACTTTATTAAGAGAAAGGAAATTTAAGAATATAAAAGCTAATTTCTTTTCATCATCTTCAACTTCACTTGTTACTACAATAATAAAGGTATCTGGTAAAGATGGCTTGCCAGGCAATGTAATATATGCTCACTGGCAGTTGTCAGAGTTTAGTTTTCAGTGACTAAAAATGCATTTTTTTTTCATATATATAAGATCTTCATGATGAATTTGTAGTCATCAAATTTACACCTAAAGAAGGTCTTATCAACACATTTGTTTCAAATTTCATCAAAATTGGATCAACAATGTAGTCTCTATGATTTATCATTCATCTAATTATTACATTTGTACTTGATCAAGATCTAATCAATATATAAATGCATACCAAGTTTCATCAAGACTGATTCAAAATAAGATATTCATGCCTACAAGCCAAATTTGATACTTTTTTTTTTACTAAGTCAAGGGCCACAACTCAAAAACCATTCAAATAATCACTACTTAATCATCAATACATACGAACATACAAAGTTTAATCAAGATCAATTAACTATTTAAACCCAGATTATTACTGAATACAATCATGACTGTGATCTCATCAATAAATATATACACGTATCATCAAGATCAGATCAAAATAGCGATGGCCCACAATAATGGCAGCCAAGACATCCGGGCGGTTAACAAGAGCTATCAATAAATGAAATATTTCATTTTCATACTGAACAAGATTTATTCAAAGACTTTTTTCTTCCAAATCAGTCCAGAATTTTGTCTTCTAGTGTTTTAAAAGCTAGAGATTGAACACATTTTTAAGATATGGGGCGATTTTAAATATTTTTCGATTTTCTGCTTTTCAATAAGGTTCAGGTGGTTCAACCAAGTTTCTTAAAAATCTGTTGAGAATTGTGCCTTGAATGTGATTTCAAGAACAGGGGCAATAACTCATATAATACTTTTTAGTTTTTTTTGATTTTCAAATAGGGTTTAACCTTGGGTGATTACTAACTCTCACACCAAAAAGGCAGACAGACATATGTGAAAGATAGCTTGCCAGGCAAGGTAATATACGCCCACTAGCAGCTTTGATTTTGAATAAAAATATTTAGCAGTACAGTAACAATCACCAGTATGAAATATTCAACCTTCAGTCATACACTTCTTTTGAACTCTTTAGAGCGATACTGAATAATATTGAGTATGAGTTATTTCCCTTGTTCTTGAAACCATGTTCAATTTTTAGATCGTGAAAATTTTAGAAGGAAAATATTCAATCTTCAGCGCCGGACTGAATAATAAAACCAAGTTTTGTCAAAATCCAGCAACAATCATGCCTTTTAGTGTTTAAGAACTAAATTTGAAAGTGTTTTCAAGAACAAATGCAATAACTCATACAAAATTCATTTCTTCTGATTTTCAATAGGGTTCATCCATGGGTGAGTACAAACATTCACACCAAGTTTCATCAAAATCCCTCAAGAATTGTGCCTTCTAGAATGATTACGAGCTAAAAATTCAACGCGTTTTCAAAAACAAGGGCCATAACTCATACTAAATATTTTTCGATTCTTCTGATTTTCACTAGGGTTCATCCTTATACGCCCATTTCATGTGGGCGTATAAAAAAAGATTCCTACCTTTATCAAATAATTCACTATCTAACTTGTATAACTGGATCAAGTTAAATGATTTTTCAAACCAATAATCAACAGGTTTCTCTCTGAAAGTTTCATCCAGCTGCTCTTTTCTGAAAAATAAGAGGAGAACTTATTAAGCCCCAATTGTAATTTTAATTTAAGATAGCTTGCCAGGCAAGGTAACATACGCCAACTGGCAGCTGTCAGAAATGATAACACAGTCTGAATTTTCTCGTATTAAAGAAACTATTAGTTTGAATTCAATGATATATATTTACTGCCAGTTATTTATGCTGAGAAATTCCACAAAATGTTTTAGAAATTACTATCAATAACCAAATTATTAAACCACACAGCTCTAATATGAAAAGATTTCATCAATATAAATAAAAACTCCATTCATTTCATTTCCTTTATCAACATAAATCATCACACTAAATTTATAAGTCAAAAAAACTTGTCAAAGATCTCACCAATGTAAATGATCACACCAAGTTTCATTAAAATAAGGTGAAACTGTAATCTTCATTGTTTTCACTACCATACTTTGACACAGTTTTCTAAATCAAGGGCAATAACTAAATAATCAATCTTCGAAAAAATCATCAAATTGGAACATGACCAAGATCTCATCAATATACATGATCACATCAAGTTTCATTAAAATCAACTGAAAACTGTAATCTCTATTGTGTTTAAAACCAATTTTGACGAGTTTTTCCTAATTCGAGGGCAAAAACTCAAATTCAAACCTGACCAAGATCTCATTAATATAAATGATCACACCAAATTTCATTAAAATCAGATATAAACTAATCATGAATGGCCTTATGTGATAAAGCATATTTTGCAATTAGTGACATCATCAAACGATTAGATTAAGTGGAATTAAAAGAACCACAGAAGTCTGATTGAAAATTGGAACGGTGCAAATTAATGCTATCAATTTCCCTGATACACATACAAAATTTAGAAAACCTCTTTACATTTCTTTAATAGGAAATACTGAATTATCAAACAAAGGTTTATTTTACTATATGCATTGTTGAAACTCTCTGTATGCTCAATTCTTCAGAAATTAGTCGAAATTGCTAAAAACAAACCTTTTCATTTCATTACTTAATTCATCTTTATTTGTCATGTTTGTTGAATCATTGTTTGATTCCGGATCAGTCTACAGTAATAAAAAATAAAATATTTATCAAAACTATAAGTTCAAATTCTCACTTCCATATGTCTGTGTCCAACACAGCACCACATACAGTTAAGGGGTATGGTTTTATCACCTTTGTACAATTTTGTTAGTATAATTTATGAAGAATGAACCTGTTTCCCCAGCAATTTAGCTACCTAAAGTAAATATGAAAAAAAAATGTTGCTTTTATATTGAGAAATTTAGAACTCGATTTTAATGTAGAATTTTATAGAATTTAATTAATATCATATTTAGAAAATAAAAATCTTTACTTTACCTTCCATGGAATAGGTTGATTGTAAGATCTTAACCTTGTTTCAAAATCTGAAAGTGTTCGTTGATCAATATCTGATATCTGAAATCCATCTTCTAGTAATTTATCATATCTTTCTCTGATGTTATTTGATTGTCGAATATACCTTTCAACTAAAAATATCAAAACACAAATTTAGTAGTTTAGGTCTTTAACTTCTAATTGTCAAATTATTCCTTAATCAAAAGGAACTGTCATCTACATATGCTGAAATGAATGTGTCTAAAATCTAAAAGTTGCATCTTCTTGCAATTAATGCAGTTAGTTTTTTCATATTTGTTGTCAATTTTCACTTGAGAAAGGAATCTGGCTATGAACAGGAGCAATTGTTCTGTCAATTAGGTTCTTGATATATACACCAGATAAAAAGTTAAGTGGACTCTCTGAATGTTTATAACCCTGTTGAGTGTGGTATCAGGTTTCTATAGAAGCTGCAATGCCAACAGGCATCATGAATATCTTTTATCCTGGTATGACTCTGTATATTTTCATACCTAAATATCTCAATCTTTCTGTGTGAAATTTTAGTAAAAAATCCCGTCTGTCAGTAAAATCTTCTCGTAATATTTTTTCTAAGTTGTCTAATTCATTTCCTTTCTACAATAGAAAGATACATTGATGATAGTGAGATAAAAAGTTGACTTCCTGGACAAAACATATTGACTGGTTAGCAGTATGGTATGAACAGCATATTAACTGGTTAGTAATATGGTATGAACAGCATATTGACTGGTTAGTAATATGGTATGGACAGCATATTGACTGGTTAGCAGTATGGTATGAACAGCATATTGACTGGTTAGTAATATGGTATGGACAGCATATTGACTGGTTAGCAGTATGGTATGAACAGCATACTGACTGGCTAGCAATATGGTATGAATAACATATTAACTGGTTAGCAGTACGGTATGAACAGCATATTGACTGGTTAGCAGTATGGTATGAACAGCATATTGACTGGTTAGCAGTATGGTATGAATAACATATTAACTGGTTAGCAGTACGGTATGAACAATATATTGACTGGTTAGCAGTATGGTATGAACAGCATATTGACTGGTTAGCAGTATGGTATGAATAACATATTAACTGGTTAGCAGTACGGTATGAACAATATATTGAGTGGTTAGCAGTATGATATGAACAACATGTTGACTGGTTAGCAGTATGATATGAACAATATATTGACTGGTTAGCAGTATGATATGAACAATATATTGACTGGTTAGCAGTATGATATGAACAATATATTGACTGGTTAGCAGTATGATATGAACAACATATTGACTGGTTAGCAGTATGATATGAACAATATATTGACTGGTTAGTAGTATGGTATGAACAACATATTGACTGGTAAGCAGTATGGTATGAACAATATATTGACGGGTTTATCTTTTATTATTTGATTCACAGCCACATTATATAAAAGATATTTTCCAAGAATGAAGTGTATTCTCAACATAAATTCTTCATAGAAATGATCTCAAGATCTCAAGACATGTGCATTAAGACCCAAAATTGTAATGGTATCCATTCATTACACAAGCTGAAAGTTGTTTAAGGGAACTACATAACTCTCCTAAAAATTTGGGACTCAGACTACTAAAACCTTTTTATGTAATTGATTGTATATAAGTGTAGTCAGTGTTATTTTTTAAAAATCCTTTTTCTCTCTCCCTTTTGGGTTTTTGCATGCTCATTTTAGACTAATTTTTTCTAGATTTGGAATTTGATGTCATTTTCTTTCATATTTTGTAAGATGATTGGAAAGTTCTAAAATAGTCATTTAGTGTGAAGTGACAGTCAAGCGGATAAAATTTAGTGGTCTACTTTCAGTTTGGCTAGCTCAAGATTTTCACGGTCATATTTTATTGAATTTTTGTCCAGAAACTACGTATTGGCCAGACTTTCATGTGACACATTGGAAAGTTTTCAACAAGATTTCTAGGAAAAGTTATACAAGGTAGAATTTCGTGATTTAAAGCAAAACAATGCTCATGATGCCCAAAATCGAATTCGTTAAAATATATTTAGTACAATCTACCAGAAAATTATTGGGAGGTTCTCAAGACGTTATAAATATTTAGTAGGCGATTAATTAACACAATAGCATCAAACACCTGACTGCAGCCACTTTGACAATCATATCAAGTATACACACATATTGCCTAGATTTTATCTTTTATTATTATTTATCATTTTATTTTATCTGGTAAGTGCAGACAACACATTCACCTACAGTGACTTGCCAAATGTGCCCAACCAGATTTGATAAGTATCGTTTGGAGAACATGTGTCCCAAGTTTGATTCTTGCATCATCATTTGCACAATTCCTCTAAAACAATGCAATGGTTTTACTATGTATCAGACAGGAAGAAAATACTTACCCTTATATAACAAACTAAATCGTGAAAAATTTCATAATCTGATTCTGTCAACAAATGTGGATGTTTCTAAAAATATACACACAACCAGTCCATTATAATTCCAATTATATTTTAAATTATATTTCCAAGGGTATCGACTAAACCGTAACACATTCAAATTTCAAAACAACGAAAACATAAAAATATATATTATATCAAAAATATTTTGAAAAGATAGAACATTATTTTTGATGAAATTTGAAATAAAAACTTACAGATAATATTTCTTTAGCTTTTTCTACTTTATTAAGAGAAAGGAAATTTAAGAATATAAAAGCTAATTTCTTTTCATCATCTTCAACTTCATTTGTTACTACAATAATAAAGGTATCTGGTAAAGATGGCTTGCCAGGCAATGTAATATACGCCCAATATTTATTTATTTTGAATAAAAATATTTGGCAGTATAGTAACTATCACTAGTATGAAATATTTAACCTTCAAACACTATTTGGGGTGATCATTAACAATAATCAACAAAATCACGCAAAAATTAAAGAGTTAAAAGTGTTTACGGACTAAAAATTGAATGCATTTTCAAGAATGAGGGTAATAACTCATAAAATATTTTTTAAAGCTTAAGTCATTCGGTGCTATAAACAAACATGGGGCCTAAATTTAGCTACACCAAGTGGATATTAGTTTATTGTATTCTCCAAGCCTTCTACATACACATACATTTCTTTTGATTAAGAATACATGGAGAATTCATTCTAAACACCAACAATCAAATAGTATTCTTGATTTTATATTTAAAATACCATAACATACACACACTGGCAGCTGTCAAATAGAAACTACAATAAAATAGAAGATTGAAGAAATCAAAGGCTATACATTCATAAAATTTTTTTTCCATATTTAGGGATTAAAGGATTTGCAATATGGTTCATTCTTAGCCGAAACTTCTCAAGTTTTGTCAAATATTGTGTCTTTGACCTAAAGTATTGACATGCTAAAAATTAAACAATTTTAAAAAACATGTGTAAATTTTTTTGATATTAATATTAAACGATTTCACTAAGTTTCGTGGAAATCTGCCATTGACGGAAATGGGTGACATAGCATCAAAATGATGAAACCATTTCACATAAAGTCATATACATTTCTCCTACTTGGTGTTCAGAATTCAAAATTAAACACATCTCAAAGAACAAAAGTAATAACTCATCAAATTTCAAAGTTTTGTCTAAATCCGTCAAAAATTATGCCTTCTTACCTTTATCAAATAATTCACTATCTAACTTGTATAACTGGATCAATTTAAATGATTTTTCAAACCAATAATCAACAGGTTTCTCTCTGAAAGTTTCATCCAGCTGCTCTTTTCTGAATAATAAGAGGAGAACTTATTAATGCCATTCTGTTAATATTATATAATTTTAATTATGTGTAACATCATGAAATAAACATGTTTCAAATAACAAGTTACTGATTAAAATTATATAAATGATCTTATCAGGGTGAAATTTGAGGGTATATCATGTCAACTATAAATAAACCAAGTACTAATTAAAACTGCAAAACGAAACTTGAAATCCGAAACAACACAATGACAAAACATTGGTAGCAGCAAATGAACTCTTCAATGAGCAAGTATATCTATCATATATCACCACATGGTAGTATTTTTTACTGAGGTGATATAAAGGTAGGTAGGTAGATGACAAGTTAACGTTCGCTTCCAGCGGATGCTGATATCGCAAACTAGGTAGTTGTTGGTGGTCATAGTAGTTGGTAGTTGGATTGGATCAAATTGGATGATTCTGTGTTGTTGGTTTGGTTGTTGATTCTTCGTTAGATCTGGTCGGGTCGAATGACATGGCGGTGAAACTCGGCCCTGGATGGTGTGGCGTGAGTTACTCGGTCTCCTTCATTCTTCCAAACTCGTTCTGATCATGGTATTTCTTGTTGATTGGTAGTCGAATGGTATCGTTGGTGATATAAATCTATATACAGGTATTTATAGTAAAGATGATATATCACCCAGCCCTGCTTAAAGTCTACAATTGTGTCATCACTTAAAGCGGAATAATCAATATGAAAACTCTGTATGTTCAATTCTTAGGAAAATAGTCGAAATTGCTAAAAACAAACCTTTTCATTTCATTACTTAATTCATCTTTATTTGCCTTTCTTTGTCGTTCCTGTCTTTTTTTAAAATTTAATGTCTACAAAATAACAATAAATACATATCATTAGGTCATACATAATAGTCTGTTTTACAGCTCGAGCGTACTTTATTAAAATACCCTGCGCTCCCAATTTATTTATTGACATTTTAAAATAATCAATAAATGGTGCGCACACACAATATAAAACAAAAGAAAGTTATTTCCCTTGAATGATTTGATTCAACGAAAGATGAAAAACTATTATGTGCACTAGGCTTACAGATGTGATAGAAAAAGTGTTTATAGTAATATCTTAAAAAAAAAATACAGCATACCCGATACTAAAAATAGATCAATGTATGGAATTCTTTTCAAAATAGGAAACATGTACAGAAAAGATTTTAATATGCGCTTGTAATAAGTTAATGACCATGGTTGAATCAAACCATTAATATCCTTAAAAAATGAAAAATTACAGACTCTTAACAGAGACAATCTTAAGTAAAATAATTTCAAAGTTTTTAGAATTATCAAACACAAGGGTAGACTTTAATTGTGAGACCATGTAAATGAGCTAGAAAAAAAAAAAGTTTTTATCACTGCATAGCATATGAAATAATTGAAACGGCCGACTTTCCATATCTGAATTCGTATCAAAATGGTGTATCTGAATCGTAAGAAAATACGTGACCGCTGTTTTCTAGTCAGTTTGAGTAATACTGTGTTAACAGAATAGAGATTCAATTATTATATAATAAACACACCCTCTCGACCCGATTTTAAAAAAAAAAAGCCTGTAAAATAGACTATTTATTTTGTATGGCCTTACAGGTAAATGTATTGTAGTAGGTAGTTTCTGGTTTTAAGAAATGTTACGTTATATTTTTGGCCAAACTCTACATATTTGCCTTCAACAAACTGAGGTATAATAGGTTGTCAAAGAAGTATAGTAAGTGTCAATAAGTCATTATTGTGCCGTTGTCGGAACTTCTGTTAAGCATAGAAATTCACATCTCACTGTCAGTGTCATTAATGATTTGCAATTTTCAGGGGATGGATTTGGTTTTGAATATATGTAAGTAGTCTTCAGGAGTATTAAAAATGTAGGAAAATCACATATTGAGGGAATAAATATGGAAGAATGGAGAATGACATGACTAATGGCCTAAATTATTATTTATGGCAATATTTTGAAGCTCTGACATTTTATGCTATTTGTTGAAACAATGGCCTCTTACATGTCAACATTTTAGAAGTAGACAGTTATATTACAGGTGTGATTACAGAAAAATTGCTTACCTCCTTATGATTTTTAAAGCCTTTAGGAATTGGATAAT